CAGATGAGTGGAGTGGAGAAGAACGGAAAGGAGGGAGGGGTGTGGGGTGTGGGGTGGCGAGATACATGGATGCAACGGCGATGCATGTGCAGTTCTTTCGTCAAGGGCAAAGGGATGCTCATGCCTGATGTCTCGCAATTCTTGAGAAGTTCCCTGCGGAGGACGTCAGGACCCGCCGCAACATCTCCAGCTCCATCTTCCTCGTGATGGTCCACGATCTCGCTATCAAGTTCTGATCTTCCAGCGCAAACGACGCAAGGAACAAGACCACGAAAACCTGCAGACTGTATGAGACGTGGGAACAACCTTCTTTCCACAAGGTACAGACCTGATTTGTTGTGGACTCGTAGATCGGAATGGCAACACATCCCCTCAGTCCAGCCTGACAGGCGTCATGACATTCATCTCTCTTGAGCAAACGATGTTTGTCTACCTTCTCGGCTAATTCTGCCCGCAGAAAGACGGTCGGAGGAAGCTTCGTTACATCACTGACAAATCATTCCAGTCAAAGTCATGATCATTCCATCAACTCCAGCTCCTTCACCATCTTGGCCTCCATCCCCCTCCTCCTCTTCCTCTCCCCGCCGCCCCCAGGGCATCCAAACCTGTGCATCTGCAGCTGTCGCGTCCTCCAACATCTTCCCGGGACCCCCTGCCCGTGTCTTCAGGAGAGCAAGAGCATGGCAGGACATTCTCATACCACATTAGGGGGGAAGTTAAGATCCAGGCTGTATCTGCCGGGGAAACATTCAGGAGGATGAGGAGAGGAGGGGGAACACCAGCCTGTGAAACATCTCCGCCTCGTCATTGCTGGTCGGATGATCAGCGATGCAGGTAGCAGAAGAGACAAGGTATACCCATGCCAAGAGGCCCCACTCTGTATCAGGCACTTCCCATCCTCCCTAGGTACAAGGGCCTCTGCAAGGCAGAAACCGCATGTCTGCGACACCTCCTTCATGATGTAGCCGATCTGATGCCAGCTAGTCAACGTTTGCCATGCTCGAATGAATCATCACCAATCCTAGACTGACGTTTCTCTGAGGGTTCATGCAAGGCAGCTTCGGCTTTCTTTGCTTCTCGCTAACCGCCATTCCTTGGGTTGCGTCAGCTATGAAAGATAGGAAATGTTGGCAACAAGGGATAATACCACAGTGGGTCTCTCGAAAATACACATACAAACGATTGATCACGCTGCTACAAAGCAAATCACACATCGCAACGTTCACATTAACAAACGATTTGTTCATCCAAACGGCACTTAAAAGCGGAGAAGTTATAGCAGGAGAATAGATGAATCACATGATGACACAGAGAGGAGAAGCAGTGCAGCTGAGAGGCCGAGCAAAGTGCAAGTTAAGGCATGCAAGAGGGGTCACATGGAATCAATGAAAGCGTGAGCATCACGCGGGGATCAGCATGCGAAGGGAAGAAGATGAGCGGGATAGAAGGAGACCGATGTGAAAGACGAGGAGCAAACGAATAGAGGAGGAGAAGTCTGTGGTGAAAGGGCGGCGAAGGGAACCAGGAGCATGGTGCCATTCACTCACTTAGCGCCGCCATGGTCGGAGGATCCCAGGAAAGGCTCCAAGTTCCTCCTTTGATCACAACACGTCGTTTCGATATTACAGCAAGGCGCATCAGGGGGTGGAAGGACGGGAGGGGGTAGGGGTAACCACCTCAAGTCAAAACTCTAAGGGGGTGGATTTTGAAGAGAATGGGTGGGTACTTTTGCTTTGGATTACTATGGTGAGGGTACTTGTCCCTTACAATGAACGGGTGATAGGTGGAAAGTAGTTCAGATTTGACCATTGGGTGGGTAGGCAGATGCCATGGTGGGGTAGTAATGATGAGGTTCGCGAAAGGATGCCTTTTTCACTTGCATTCGAAAGGAATAGATGTGGTTACCACGGGGGTGGGTGGTAATTGTGGGGCATCGCATGGAGATAGCACGGGTACCTGCCCTGGGTCGAAAGGGGTTATTAGATACCGTCGTGTGAAAAGGGTGGGTAGTCTGAATCACAGCCACTAGGGGTGCCCGCAACAGGATTTGAAGGGGGTGAGAAGGGGGGGTAGTCTAAAACAAAAGAGCCAGCGACGTGAGCACAAAAAAGACGGCGGTCATGGCGTAGGGGAAGAAAGATGGACAAGATGAGCGACGAAAGGCTTCTCGCAGACAGCAGGATGAAGAATAGCTCTGAGACGAAATGAAGTCACTTATCATCAGTGCGGCATGCCAACAGCTGCGTTGGGTCGCCAGATATGAGAGGATGCTGTTGGCTGGGTAGGGTGTTCAGGATGTGAACCAACTTGTCCCGGATGGGGGGATCCGGAATGACTTTTGCTTCGACCTGAGATGTTTGATTCTTCATTGCCCTTCTGAGAATATTTGTTCAACGGTACAGCAAGTTCATCAAATTTTCAAGTTTCAGTTCGTTGATCGATGAAGTGAAGGCTACAAGTGAACATAACCAAGAGCGACTCAAGATCCAGCCGATGGTGTTGCGTACCTTTGCGTTCTGTCAGACTGCCACTTTAACATAAAGTTGCATACACTAATTATCGTTGGATCAAACACGGTTCCCTTCATGACAAGAGTCATACATACAAAGTGTGATTCTTCAACTTCGACACACACATCTAACATGACGTTGTACCCTCGCTGCAGCGGCCTTGCCGAACAAACTGTGTTTTCATCCATCGTAAGTTGCGTAAATGAAAATCGTTGTCTTCGTCCTTTGTCAGTCGAGTAAATGCAACTTGGAAAGCCCAACAGTGCCCCCGGAACCGTCACTCATGTCAAAGGTGGTTGTGAACTTGTGGGGTCAGCTGCCATCGTTGCCAGCCCATGTGCCATGACTATGCCTTGGTCGCACAACACAGCGTACATTCCTGTCTGTGCAGTTGAGCCCAGCTGCCTCTCAGCAGCTGTAGCCATGATGCCAGCCTACTACTTAACTACTACCGCCCTGACCGCATCCGGATATTTTTACCGGACAATGTCCGGCGAAACTTCGGAATTACCCGGCGGGCCGCCCTGATGCGCAATCACTTTGAAAGGAGCCTTCGGATGCCACTACCGGTGCGAGCAATGAAGGGGAGGGGAAGGGAGGGGAGGGGAGGGGAGGGGAGGGGAGGGAGAGGGAGGGAGAGGAAGACTTCACATTGAAGGGCCGAGCAAGGCAAGGGAAGGGGACTGAGTGGAAAATGGCAGCCTGGCAGAAGGGAGGCGAGGTCGGAGTCGGGAGAGGAAAGAAGAGAAGAGCAGGGCAGAGGGGAGGCGTGAAGGGGCGAGTGAGCCTAACACCAGGCATTACAAGGGTAGGAAGGGACGCCATGCCCAAGTTTGCTTTCTCGTTCTTGATGCTGCCGTTGCATCTTCATTCAATCTGAAACACTGAAGCAGATGACATAAACCACACGTCTTCTCGACGGGGTTGACATGTGTTGATGCAAAAATGAAATTCAGCTACAGCTCTGACCGCTCTGATCATCACGACACAATTCTTTCCAGCAAGGCGCAGGAGCTCTGCAGGCAAGGTTTGCAGGAGGAGAGGCGAGGGAACTGCGAGCGAGCGGAAGAATACTACCGTCTTGCGTTGATCGCAGATGAGAATCACGCAGGTCTCGTCGAGATGTGCTTGTCGGTGGTGATTGACTCTTGTTGCTGCATGCAGATACTCTCGCAGCTTACGGACATTTCTTGCAAACATACACATCCGATTATGACAGGGCTGAAAGCTTGTACAAACGATCTCTCAGTGTAAACCCGACTCATCTCGACACTTTGCAGAACTATGCTGTTTTCCTTGAGAATGTTCGAGGAGATATGCAAAGAGCAGAGAAGTTGTATAACATTGCGCTGACGATGACGGCGTGGTGTGATGATGTTTCGGTAGAGGCGAGGCATTCTTTGGATCGGTCTGCTCAGGATGGCGCATACGAACCTGAACGAAAGGCTCCGAGCACGAGCATGAAGGAGAGGAGACTGAAGAAGTATCAACCTTCATCGACAGCTTTTGACTTGTTGGGTACAGAGATGGTCTCCAGCCCCAACATCGAGCGACAACCTTCTGGAAAGCAGATCGATGCGGAGAGGAGATTCCTGGATGGTTCAGCGACATTCATGGACGATCGTCGGTTCGCCTCCTCCCGGCACAACAAGAGGCACACGCATGACATGCACGAAAAGCCCTGGGAGGGACCTCTCGATAACCCCCATGGCACCCCCTCGACTGCAGGCAGGACCGTCAAGAAAGTTGAACACCATGCCGTAGCAAGTTTCTTCTACTTCGGGACACCTCGCAGCCAGCTGGTGCAGAGCAAAGCGTTCCATCAAAGTCTGTACGCCTCTTTTGAAGGCCTCTTGAGACTGACGAGCTCGCGGCGTCTATCTCGGGAGAGTCTGTTTGATACGTTGGAGAAGTGTGGCATCTTTGCAAACAGAGAGTCACCAACGGAAGATCTTCTCCAATTGTTTCAGAGGAGTTCAAAGAAGAACAAGCAGATTCATGAAAGTGACCTGTTCCCTGCTTTCTCTGAACTTGTTTTGGACATGATGTCGATTCAGAATTCTTCACAGAAACGTGAAACCCGGGGAGATCTGACTGAAACTTTGGAGGCACAACCTGAAATTCAGTCCAATACACGTAATTTTGCACTGGATTGGTTGAGACAAGTGAAGGAAATACGGAAAGAAGAAACAGATGTCGCAATATCTAATGAAACTGCGGCAGATTCAACACAACCCAACTTTGACCGACAGATCCAGTATAATGATCAACGAGGCGTCCAAGATGACAGTTTGCATCTGAGTCGCATAGGAAAGGCTTACGATGGAGAAGATGACTCTTTCGACCCAGCTGCCGACATGGCGAGGAAACCAATGGGGGATCGTTTGCCAAGGGCATGGAAAGTTGAGATAGATAAACATCATGTAAATGGAGACAGCATCCCTGAATCGAAGAGAATTGAAAGCTTGTCACGTTCCAAGGGTTCAAACTCGCAAGCCGTCTCTAGCATCATGCCAGAAGAACGATTTGACAAGGAATCCTTGTATCACCCTACCAACTCTTTCTTCTCAGACATGAAGAACCCCCCGGTCAGGATCGCAGAGGCCTCCAAGTTCTCGCTCCTGATCCCCAACGAGAAGATATCTGCGCATCACCCGCACCAAGACAAGGATCCTTCCTCGTCCTCGCACGAGCTCGGCAGCCGCCTACGTAGCAGCCAGAGGAGGACCACAGGAGAGGAGACAGATAGATCCAACGAGTCAGAGGTCAGAGACAAGACGGCAAGTTTGCTGCAGAGACTGAGAGATAGGTTTGGAACCACCGCCCAGCTCTTCCAATACTTCAAGACCCGCCAAGTTGACCAGGGCTCGCAAGCTGGGAATGTGATTGGGAGAGTTACTTCCAAGGCATCACAAGGGTCCACGAGCATAACGTTTGAAGAGTTCAAAGCTACAGCAGAGAGCTTGGGTGAGGTTTCGAGGTTGAAGTTTGCAGCTTGCTGAGACTTTGCAGGTATGAACTTCACTGCTCGGGAGATCGAGGATATGTTCTTGAGCCTCGCAGTGTCAATCACCTCCAACATCCCCTACAAGAGCCTGGTGGAAGCCGTCAGGTCCTGTACAAGCAGCAGGTCGCGAGACTTCGGTCAAGGGAAGAGGTTTGAAAGGGACAGTCACAAGATTCGGACCGAGCTCAAATGCTCTTTCATGACATCCTTGCACGCCTTCGTCTTCTTCGACATCCGCGGCAGGGACTTCCTGAGCAAGAAGGACCTGGCGCTCGGCCTGAAGCGGCTGAAGATCAAGGAGCAAATCAATCTCGAAGCAGCTTTCGAGGAGACTGACTTGGATCACGACGGTAAGATCAACTACAAGGAATTCATCAAGCACTTTGCTGCGGGCTGGCACCCTGTCGAGGATTTCGAGGCTGTTCAGAGGGAGTACGAGAAGCTCAAGCGTGAGAGCAGGAGGAGGTGGATGACCAACGACATTCCTACTGAGTCCTCCCCTCCTAAGAAGAGCTCTCGCCCCCGCTCTGCTCCGCCAGCCTCTCAGGTCTCGCAGAAGGACTCTGCTCGCAGAACTCTCAACTTCGATGGCTCTGCTGTATACGCGGGAACAAGTCTGAATGAAAACTTCAGCAGCGACACTGAGTCAGACGAAGAACCTTCGGACGGGAAGGCAAGGGAGCCGCCACACGAAACCAAGCATAACCACCGAGCTCGAGAGCATGCAGGTTCAGAGTTGCCGTCCAAGTCTCAAGCGGCTGAAAGGGAGGAAGACGGCAGCAAGACATCAAACTTAAGTGAAGCAGAGCAGCTCGACCCACGCAGACTTGCGAATCTTCGGCTGCTCGAAGCCAAGAAGAAGAAGGAGGTCTCCATGCTACAAGAGCAAGAGGAGCTGATTCGTCAGCGACAGGAGATGCTGGAACAAAAACGAGTGAGGAGGCTGATGTTGGACCGCGAGCGCTTGGAACGAGCAAAACTAATCAAGCGAAAGGACGGGGAGAACTCCGAATCTGCTCTGAGGCTTTTCAGCAGGTTCGACTGATTGACGGCAGGCAGAGTCCGCCAGATCACTCGTAGTTTCATCTTCTCCTCATTAAGAAAACAACATAACAGATCAGACAAAACACCTGTAAATGCTCGCAAGTTCAATAAAATTCAAGTCGCTTTCAAATGTTCTAAAACCATTCAACCCGCTTCTCACACCCTCCCTCAGGCGTCAGGACAAAAGAACTCTTCCACCGCATTCCTCCAGCTACATTACAAACCATTTCCCCATAATTCCTCCGCCTGCTCATTTGGTAGCAGCGCTCGGCGTCGCTTCTTTGCTCTTCTTGGGTCGTTGCGTGCAGCCATCAGGCAGCCATGCTGGAGGATTCTTGTCTGCGAAGTCATTCAGTTGCATGTGCGCTGAGACACGAGCGGTAGCAAGCGAGGAATGCGATGTAAGACATTCCGGAATCATGGCAATGGCGCGATCATGGGGTAGAAGAGCCGGGAGAAGAGGGAAAGAAGAACAACGGGACCACGTTGGGGGTTGCGGCGACGGGGATGGGGGGTGAAGGGAGGAAGGAGGGAAAGGGCAGGAGAGATCAGGAAAGGAGAGAAAGGAAGGCAAAGGAGCAGGGGGGGAGAATGATGAGGTCGGAAGGGGAATCGAACCCTACCACGAAACAATCCCCAATCTGGAACGCAGAGGGCGCAGGAAATGGCGACTCCGGCGAAGACAGCATACATGGTTATTCTGAAGCTCTCGAACCAATACCCTACAACGAACCCTACAGCCTGCGCGAGCATATCAAGGAGAGGGATGGCAGCGATCATGCCGATGGGAGTGAAAGTACCGAGAAAGAGACGATCACGAGCTGGTAGAAGGCCTCGCAGAACCTCTGAGCCTCCATGTCTGTGTTCATGCCCATGGTTGCAGGACTGAGAAACAGGATCAAACATCCTATCGCAACTTCTAGCGCACTGAGAAAGCATACACGTCCCCACCTCTCTCACGATCTATTCCCTGTACTTCCAAAATTCTTTCCTTCTCCCGCATCAATTACCATTATTTCCTTTGCCATGTTGCTATTAAAAGTTTTGTTTCTACTTTGTCTACCAAACACAGGATGGTCGAGACTTTCTTGTCTTACTTCCCACCGCCCTCAGCTCCTGGATGTACTTGCTTCAGTTCTTTCAGCGCGAGTTCGACTAGCCCTTCAAAACTTCACACCCTAGCGTTTCACTCCCTGTTATTACCCAAGAATTGATTGCAATAGTTTGTTGCCTATCTTATGATCCTCAATGTAATGGATTGTTGACCATCTTACATCATCATCGCTCTTCCTCTCGCTCTCTCTGCCCGCTTTGTCTATCTTATAATCCCTCATCGCTCTTCTTCTTCCTGTCGGTCTGTCTGTCTATCTGTCTGTCTGTCTGTCTGTCTGTCTATCTGTCTGTCTGTCTGTCTGTCTGTCTGTCTGTCTGTCTGTCTGTCTGTCTGTCTGTCTGTCTGTCTGTCTGTCTGTCTGTCTGTCTGTCTGTCTGTCTGTCTGTCTGTCTGTCTGTCTGTCTGTCTGTCTGTCTGTCTGTCTGTCTGTGCTCCCTTTGTCTATCTTACATCCTCGTCGCTCTTCCTCTCTCTCTTTCCCTCTCCTCACGTTCTCCCCTGACCATCCCCGCTTCATCTGCCATGGCCTCCGCGCGCGTGTCCTACCTGAAATAGCTTGAGCTCAAATCATTTCCATCATTTCAATCATCCAGCTAATTGAGATATTTGCTGGCTCGGCCGGCCGGCTCGGACACGGCGGCCCGGCCCGCACCGTACCCCGGCGGCCGGTCCCGAGTCCGGCGATCCCGCCGGTCCGGGCCCGAGCCCTGGCACCCGGTTAGCCTGCAGTCCGGGACTCCGGGCGGACTCGCCGGCGGCGCCGAGCGGCCTGTCTTCGCTGACTAGTATCCCGGACGAGTGACAGTGAGCCGGAGTCCGATCGGCCGCCCGGGCAGCAACTTTCAGTTTACGGAAGTACTGCAGCCTTTTACTCAAAGTTAAAATACGGCGGCGGGGCCACAGGCCATGGTCGTGACGGCGGCGAGAAGCCTGAGAAAAGACAGCGAGAACCAACCCTCATACTGCCGAATGCTGTCCCCCAAACTAGTTAACAAGTTCACTTTCAGTGACTCGTAACAGTGACCGGGCCGCCGAGCGATCATCCCGGCCGGGCCGCCGGGCGCCGCACCGCCGGGCCGCCGCCGCAGCAACTTACTGTAGGCCTCTGCTAGCCTGCCTCTGCTGTACCGCCGCCGCATACTGATTGGCCGGCTGCTGCCTAGGAACTTCGGAACAAGTTTGGAACTTCAAGTTCGGAAGCCTCGGAACGCGTTGGGAGTCCGCATCCGGCCGGGGCCAGTGGCTGCCACAGCTGCCCCGGCAGGCCGCAGGCCTATCCTTGGAAGATATCATAATGTCGTGCTATCTTCGTCTCAAAGTATCTCTTCCTGTAGCTCCAGCAGCAGGCAAGCAACCCAGCGTTTCCAAAGAGCGAAAGGAAAAAGAGAAGGAGGATGGAAAGAAAGGCAGGATGCTGATCTCCATTTTCTTCCACCAGCTCTGTCGCTTTCTCCGCCCCCTTCATCACACACTTGTCCACACTGAGCGAGCGTCCGTTGGGCATTGGCTGGAGCATGAAGAGGTGGAGAAAGAAGCGGTCATCCTCCCTGGAGAACTTTCCTTGGAAGCCCAAATCGAAGGCCCACTGCGATAAAAGTAAGGAAGGATTGATGCCAAGAAGAGGAAGAAAGGGAAGCTGATGTCGGATACGCTGGATGAGAGGGGTGGAAGGAGAGGGGAAGCAGGACGGAAAGTTGACGGGAACACGAGAGCGTCCCACGAGGCAAGAGGGAGGAGAGAAGAGGTCAGGTTGGTTAGATGAGAATGGATGAAGGAGAAGGAATGAGGGAATGGCAAGGGGAGCAAATGGTGGAGGGGAGAGGCATGAGGAAGGGCAGGTGGGAATCAGCCAAGACAGCAAAGAACATGAGGAGAGGAATGTTTCCAGCTAGAGAGGTATTGTATGTGCAGGGAGACGAGAGCTAACGGAGGAGAAGTGGCTCGGATATCTACCTGCAACCCATTGCAGCTGGAGAAGAATTGGACGCAGTCCACCGCATCGGACACTAAGCTCCTATCGATCAGCCGTGTTAACACCATGTCCTGCAAGCTCCAACCCAGCCCCAGGGATGTCCCAAGTTGGAAGACGGAGATGTTCGACGGGCACGCGGGAGAAGACCTATCCTCCAGCAGCTCGAACTTCCCGCTGAGACTCCCTGTCGTGAAGCGCGAGAAGAAATTATCGTCTTTGGGGGACAACGCTTTCCTACCCTTCCCGTAACAGTTGCCAGACGTGCAGGAAGCGAATTTTTCCACACACACCAACTTCTCTTCTCCGATCTTGCACTGGCTGCTACTGTCACGTTGATCACTGCTGCAGACTGTCACGTTCTCCCGCATGATCACAGTCTGTCGCAAGACTGCAGGTTGGTCGTCGTATCCCAGCACGTTGCCAAACACCACCAGGTCCAACTCTTGATGGAGGAGGTCAGGACGAAAGTAGGAGACGTTAAGATCTGAGGCAGCCCCTGTCCACCTTGCTCCTCCCATCACACTTGCACAACGGTCAAGACTCAATCTCATGGGCCCTCTCTCCCCTTTCCAGCATGAGTCCTCCGTTGCCGTAAGCGAGACCTCAACGCTCCCCAGTTCATCCGTCGAGCTGACCTCCGTTCGTTCAACATATTTGCACCCCTCCTTCACGCAGTCGCAGTTCTGCTTGTTCCAGCACTTGCACTCGACTGCCATGTTGCCATCGTAGTTGCCAGTCACATCGGGGATGCCAGAAGTGTCCCCCGAGAGGGAGAGGATGGGGCGGGTGTTGCCCACTGTCTTCATCGTCTTCTCCACTTCTGTATTTCTCATCTGCATCTTCTTGGACGCGATATATCTTCCTTCTCCACTACTTCGCACACTCTCGTGAGCTTGCAGCTTTCCCCCTTGCACCCGCGCATCATGGCGCTTTCCCACTGCATGGTGCGGACTAGTGAAGGAGGCGTGTTGTGTATGATGGTCCTTAGAAGCGTGCAAAGATGGGAGAGACGTTCTCTCGTCTCTCTTCTCCTGCATTCTCACACTCTGGGCCACCAAAATCACCGCCGCCATCACCGCAAACCTCAGCCGATTCCCCATCGCGCTTCCGCCCATTTCCTCCAGCCACAGTCTAGGAGTACGGGGTGAGGGTACCGTACCACATGTAGGGTTGTATGTCAATTATAAGGGGTACTTTTGGCCTTATTTAAGAGATTGATGGTGGGGTACTTCATGAACTGTAGGGGTACTAAATTGATTCCAGAATACTTGAGGGTGGTGGGTTGCAAGGGGTTCCTTGCTGCAACGAGTACCGATGTCTCGAATTTGAGTAAAATGTCAAGTCGTACTGAATAATTTAGTGAATATAATGACTAATGTATTGAGTTCTGTTGTTGTGTTGAGATGCTTCAAATTCGAACGATGCTGTATGAACATAGCGAAGCGAAGGAGAAGAGTCGGGAGGGAGGGAGGGAGGGAGGCGGGGGGAAGAAGACAGAGAGGGAGAGGGAGAAAGAGAGGCAGAGGCAAAGGAAGAGGAAGAGGCAGAGGCAGAGGCAGAGGCAGAGGCACAAAGTGACAGGGACAGACGATGAAAGAAACAGAAACAGAAACTGAAACAGAAACAGAACTAGAAGCAGAGGCAGACGCAGAGTACGAATAAAGGTTTCAGGGTACGCAAAGTGTGGAAAAGGAGAGACAGAGCGAAATAAGCAAGATATAGGAGGCAGTGAAGGAAGCCATGGTTATCAGCGCATGAGACTGGAAAGCATTGCAACGCACCTTATTTCTTCTCTTGTTGTCACCAAATAATAGATGCTCCAACAAATTCGGTGTTTGCTCTCTTGATATTTGTTGCTCAGGTCCTGTACCTTCATGTCAGCAGGGTTGACTTTGCAGCAACATAATCACTACAGAAATCTGGTGTATCGTGGAAAAGAGTCCAAGAAGCCTCAAAAGATCGTTTTCCTTTCCTCCTCCCTGACGACGACTAGGGTTCAGAGGGTCAGCAGCTTTAGGTTGAAGAATCTTCTGGAATCCAAGAGAGTCACCTACCATCACGTCGACCTAGCCGTGAGTCACAAGCATGGTCCGATCATCCACGCTGACCGAGCATGCAGATCGAAGATCGCGCGGATGAGTTTGCTAGGCTGATCGGAACTCGCGCCCTTCCCCTCCTCCTCATTGACGACAAGGTTCTTGGAGGAGAAGAGGAGGTGCAGTTCTTGGAAGACATGGGGGAGCTCGATGCGAAACTTGGGATAGACAGATGAGAGGAGGGGACACCACAATAACATGAGGAAGAGTAACCGTCTGATAGAGCGTTGAAGCGACAGCCATGAATGTCAGCATGATAGAGAATGCCACTTCTTGCTCACTCCGCCGGGGAGTTGGGAGGTTCGATGTTGCTGAGGATAAGAGACTCCCTTCCCTCATCCCTGTAATTCAATGATTGTTGCCAGAGCTTTGTGCTATTGGACAAAGAGAATTTTCACAACGGTGCGGGAACTTCATGCTTGATTCGACTGGAAAGAGTCAAACGTCAAGTCCAACTACTCATGATCTATCTGCATGGGCCTACGCGGGTCCGTAGAGACCAGGTAGAAGGTGAGACTGGGTCTCGAGATGGGCTTCCCAGTCCGGTTGTTGGGCCTGACGAATTCGGTACACATTCAGGCCCATGGAATGAGTGTGTGTTCAGGATAAAGAGGAGAGAACGACAATCTACAGTGATCGCTCATTTTCTCGGATACGTCTCGATGTGTTCGGAACGTCTCACTGCTTGAGACGCCATGCATGTTCATCTTGTCCAACTTTTCACCCTAGCATCACCTTGTTGAACGTCAACTCCGGCCCGGACATGCCCCAGGCATATCCCGGCATTTCCATCCATCATCGTAGATAGTCATGTGAGCCGACGGGCATGAGGCGTTGGAGCCCGCTGCTCTGCCTCCTCGCAGGCAAGGGGGATGCAAATGGGGCAGTGGCACATTAGAAAGAAGTTGAGGAGGACGAGACCCGGGTTACCTGGTGTGAAGAAACGTGCTGGAGGGCCGACGCTCCTCCATCATATGCAATGACTTACAGCACCTCAGATATCTGTCGAGATCGTAGAAGCAGCATCGAAGCAGTTCTTGGCTTGCTGCTTTCCTAAGATCAGAAAAAAATATATGCCGCAGCTCAGATTCTTCTACCTTCATCTCTGCTTTCCTGATAAAGGTAGAAGACTCTGAACTGCGGCATACATTTCCATGCCTGGTGGCATACTTACACCCTTAGCCGAGAAAACACAGCAAAAGCATGGCAGCAGGTTTTGACAAGGGTACTGGAAGAGATCGGAGCTCCTTTAGTTTGCGTTTCCGTGATCCTTTTCGGCTAATCGTGACCTTTTCAGCTGTATGATGATGCCAGCGCAGTCATCAAGGGCAGAGGATGCCTGCGCTGGAGTTCAGAGCTACCAAGAGCAAGATCGTCTCATTGCTGAAGTGGAAGGAGATTTGTTGTGATGAGATGCAGGAGGACCGTGTCACAGGTTGATTGTTGTTTATCTATGTACAGTAAACTAAATGTCCCAAATGCCCCCTCTTCTCCCTAGTTCTGTCTGACTTCCTCATGTCGTCTTCGTCGCCTTCTGCCTCGCCTGCTGTATACTCGACAGCAGCATGCCTGACGGCCCGCTGCATCGCACCACCAGGGGCTTCTTGAGGACGAGGGACTCGCTCTTGACAGTGATGTAGAACATTCTTGGCGGCTTCGTTGGCATCTGCTTCAGGTTATAGTTGACGTTACACGATCTATTCATGCTGTTCAGGTTTTGATGGAGGACCACGAAGAGAGGAGGAAGGATTGGGTCGAGCTTGTGTGGAGAGGAGGAAGGAGGGAGTTCAGGAGAGTCTGTGTGGTTGAACAAGTCAAAGGTTTCCTGAAAGTGACAAGCTCAGGAGGGAACGTGGGAGGAGCAGGGAGTTAAGATGAGTCGCAGGAGAAAGGGATTGGGACAAAGAGGAAAGGGAGGAAGGGGGCGGGGAGGGCTGCTGGTGCAGGAGGTGCTTCTTCTGCTTCTTATAGTAGCGATGCGATGAGGTCGCAAGAGATCTCGAGGTGGAATAAGAGTTCGCCTGCTGACGGGGGTTACACCCCGATGCTCCGAAAGGTGCACTATTGGCGGCTCGCCCGACCGACTCCGGGAACTCGGAACACTGGTACAAACTTTAGGTACAAACTCGGCCATGCCGGCTGCCCTGAGGGTCTCCTTTTACTCAAAGGGTCAGTGAGTGTCAGTGACCCGCCGGCCGCCGCTGAGCAGACGGTGCGACCGTACGTGGTAGTAAACTTCGTCAGCCGGATGAATCTTCTCTTTACTCAAAGTTAAGTTAAAGATCAGTACGAGGACAATCAGGAGAGGAATACTACACACAACTTGATCATAACTAATGAATGAAGAGTTTTACTTCGACACTTTGTCACATCCTTTTGGCGATTTCTTTTCTTCGAGACAGCAGTAGGCAGGATCAGGGTTGGTACTCGCTGTCTTTTTTCTTTCATTCTCGCTGTATGCCTGCCAGTGCGACAGTGTCAGGGTCAAGCCTCCTCTACTCTCCTGATTGTCCTCGTACTGGTTCAACTTAACTTTGAGTAGCTTCAAGCGCGGGTGTGTCAAAAACGGACCCTCCTACCTTCCTCGTCACTTCTGACGAACCTAGTGGCTGGTTGCGAGTACTTTCCTTTCGTTGCCAAGTTGAACTCTGATCAGACTGCAAGTGACTGGCTCAGATGCGTGGGCATCGGTCCAATCCGATCGTGCATCGCACGGTACGATTCTCTCTTTCGATGTCAATTCAGCGCTTCACCAAATAATAGGCGCTCGATGGAATTCATGCGAGCTCTTTCCTCGCTCTGCTCAGTTTGCTCGAGGATAGAAGCCTTCATCGATTTGACGTTGCAGTTCTTCGTTTCAGGGCATCGAAGTGTGCAATCATGAATGTGCGACTGCAAACTAATGTTGCAAAGACATCATGCAAAAAATAAAAAAACAAAAACAACAATCGAACTTTATTCTTTTCTTCTCGTTAACACAACATCGAATCGAGCTGCTATTGTACATTGATTTTTCCTTCTCCTCCTTCTGCTAATTTTACACTTTCTGCCACAGTATGGCTTCCTCATGTCGTCTTCGTCGCCTTCTGCCTCGCCTGCTGTATTCTCGACAGCAGCATGCCTGACGGCCCGCTGCATCGCACCATCAAGGGCTTCTTGAGGACGAGGGACTCGTTCTCGAGGGTGATGATGAAAACTTTGGTGTTCTGCATGGGATCTTGGCCAGTAATTCTTCGTGTTCTGCTGTGTGTGTGTGTGTGTAGAGCGTGGTAAAGCACTTTGGTGACGCAGGGCGATCCTGGACTGAACTGATATAGCCGGGAGGGGCTGACTGACTGTTTGGTCCCGAAAAGAAGGGATTTCGAGGGATTAGAGCTTTGACTATCAAATGCGACTAGTACAACTTCGTACTCTTGAAGGGGCGGGAGACAAACGAAGGGGTGGGGTCCCCGAAGTTGAAATGTATCCCTCGAAGGGTGGGGTCTATTCACGAAAACCGGAGCGGTGGTTTTAGAGGGATCATCAGTATTCCGCCCGGCATGACGGGTGGGGCGATACTGGCGGTTGAGCGCCTCCCAACTCTATAGGTATTTCTGCTTCTAGCTGTCATTTTACCTCAGGCTCAGTCATTTTACTACAGTGGTTTACTCCTCGCGGCGCAAGTTGAACTCCGAAGACACGAAGTACCGTACCCTGACCGTCACGCCGCGTAGCACCGTACTGGCAGCGCCGGGCCGGGGCCGCCCGGCCGGCCCGGGCCTCCTCCCCGGGCCCCGCCGGGGCCTCCGGCCCCGGGGCCTGCCGCGGCAGTGCGGCGGGCCCAGTGGCGGGCCCGCGGCCTGGCCGCCGGGGCGGGCCACGCCATAAGTTAACGCTGGTTACTTAGTTCAACAGTGATCATCGAATCGGACCCGGCTGACACTGTCTTACCGTCGGCGCCGGCCTGCTGTCACGGTCAGTGTCGCCTGGCCGCGACCCGGCGTACGGTCCGAGTCCGGGCCGATCGGACTCCGAGGCTCCGCCGCCGCGGGATCGCCGATCCGCCGCGGCGGACCGTACCGCGGCGGACCGTGACTGGCCCGGGGCAGCCGCCCGGCCCGGCCCACGGTACGGCACGGTCACTCACCGGGACGGTGAGTCAGCGGCCACCCCTTGAACCCGGGAGTAACTGAGCCTGACTCTGAACTCAGTGACCCGGTACTACTGACCGGGCCCGGCCGGGTACTCAGCGGCTAATACTTGAAGGCTAGTAGCTACCGTAGACGCGCGGCGGCCGCGCGAGGCTGCCGCCGCTGACGGCCCGGCGGTCCGATCGGACGGTCAGCCGCCCGGCGTGACCGCCGGGCCGCCGGAAGTGACCGTACGTGACTCGTGAAGTCAAGTTCGTCGCCCGCGGGCGCGCCGCGGGCGCCGGCCCGGCCGGCGGCGGGCCGCGCCGGGTGACTCGCCAGCGGACTCAGCGGCGACGTTCATGATCATCGGATACCGGCCGGGCGCCGCCCGTCGGACAGTCGCCGGCCCTCGGATAGGCTACCGTACCGTTTTCATAATCCGACAGCGGCGTACTACCGTACCGTACTACGGCGGCGTACCGTAGTACGGCAGCCGGGCCGCCGCGCACGGATGATCGGATGGCGGCGCGGCCCGGCGGGCCGGGGCGGCGGGCGGCCGCGCCGCCCCGGCGGCCCCCGCGACCGGGGGCGAGTCCGCCGCCGGGAAGGCTTGGAATGCCAGGTCGGGAGCCTCCGTCCGACGGTCAGCCTGGCTCTCAGTCTCCGGGCAGAACTTAGGGCGGCTCAGAGCCGGCCTGGCAGTCTTGAAACCTAATGATGGCCGCCGTCCTGCCGCAGCCGCTGGAATGCGCACGGCGCAGTGTCACAGTGTGCCGAGTCCAACCGTTGAACCGGGCCTCCAAACTCAGTACTGAACTGACCCGATGCCTTCACACCCTCCAGTATCCCGGATGATCCGAGACGGTCAGGGCCCGGCCGTCAGGCTCGGAGCCTGGAGTGCGGCCAGTGCCCACCGTCACGGGCGGCCGCGGCGTTGTTACTGAGCTGCCACCGAGCGGCGGCCGCCGCAGGGGATCGGACAGATACAGTGACTCTGACGCCGGTAGTGACTAGCCGGGCTCAGTTAGTACCGTGCCACCGTGGCGTCAGTTCGAACTTGCATACAGACCGTCGACCGGCCCGGTTCCTGGCAGTCCTGAGTTCCGTTCCCGGGCCCGGCGAGTGGAAGTTGCCATGATCATTGGCCGGGCCCCGGGCAGGCCCCGGCCGGGCCGCGCCGGGCCGCCGGGCGCCGGTCCGAGTGTGATCGGATCACGGTCTGTCACGGTCGACCGCCGCGCCGGGCCGGCCCGGGCCCACGGCACTGTGACGGTACGGTCCGGCGGAGCCTCCGAGGAGTCCGATACTAGGTCTCACCGGACGGAGCGTCGGACGTGCGGCCGTCTGTCGACTCACGAGGCTCTGAACCGTTGAACGCGGCACCTTCGCGGCGATTGAAGGAGATCGGTTTTAAATGTTTTTTTTCAAGTCCTAGGACCATGGCCCTACGAATACGTACCCACCCCCTTTCTGTTTCTCCCATCACTAAAACATTGTACTATGTCTAAGATGTATTTTTATGGTCCTCGCACGATGTACCCCCCCTTCTGGTACTGATCTCGATTGTGAGATACCGGTACCTTGTGCAATCTCAGATGTGAGATCGCACTGTTTCATGACCATCCCAGTCCCTGAGCACGAATAGCTGAGGTTTTGACGGAACCCTCCGGTGGTCTTAGATACATATCCGTTCCTTCATCAGTACCCCTACTATTTCCTCGCACTTTTTCACCTTCACCCTACCTCCTCGTGCCAATGGATGACTACCCCTATCCCCACCCTTCTTGAAGCTCTTTCGGAACATTTCCTTTCTACGCAGAAAATTCATTTTTTCCCTCTGAGGGTGGTTGTGGTGAGGTGGGGTATATGGGTAGGTCTTTGGGTAGGGTGGGCGGGTTTTGTTCTACACCTTCACGTTGTGAGGAGAAGTGTAGCCCTTTCCCATCACCCCCTCGAACAATGCCCTACCCCTATGGACCACCCCTTCTCCTCCGGTATCCATTTTCCGCTCGCTAATCCATTATTCGACTTTAAAAGTCTTATTTAGTTCCAAACAGAACTTGGCTACAAACATTAGTTTAAAAGCAGTGGCAGGTCACTGAAAAAGGCTTCTGTTATCCATAGACTTTTTTGTTGGAAATATACTGCAAATCCTCCAAGTTCTACAGATCTCCCATAAATCCCTGGAATCTCCTCAGTTTACTATAAATTCCCTTTACCAGTACCAAAAAATTGAAGAGGACATGACAGAAAAAACACATCATCAGGACTATGCCGCTCAATTGCAAACTCGTTGTGAGGGTCATATTTACCCCCTTTCCTCCAAATCACGATTGGGAAAATAGGGGTGGTTGTGATGGGTGTTAAAAAGGTGTGCCCCATCGTTAATCCGTCTACGGACGGAAAGGGGGTGGGGTAGACTAGAATGGGTGCTAAAACAAAGGGCCAATCATGGGCCAAGACCCGGTGGATTCACAGACCAGGACATCGAGCAGGGGTAGTAAAAGTCGAGGTCTCCAGCCCTGAGAAAGAGTGATTTCAGGTCCTTCGTACTAGGTGTTTTAAGATTAAAAACATGTTTATATCAAACATACCAAACGTCGAGGTTTAGGGGGAACGATCGGGGGAGAATCTCCAACGTTTGTGGTTCCTTGGTACTAACTGAATTTCTTTCTTTTTTATTTTTCTTTTTTCTTGCCAAAAAAATATTGCTGACGAATAAAATGCAAATTGACCCACCCTTCGCTATCCAGATTGTACCCGTACCCCTGTATGTTTGTGAACAGAAATTTACCCCTACCCCCGTATCTCCCACAGAAAGACCCTGCTTATGCCCCAATCACGAGATGGAATCAAGACCCCACCAGTTCGATTAGAGCCCCCTCTGCACCCACCCTTGCTACAAAGGTACCCCCACCATCAAACGCCCATTACGTTACCTCGTGATCGACACACACCGGTCCTTTTTACATGGAGTACCCATCCATATTGAGATCTGAAGCGATTCTGATACCCCTGCAGGGGTACAGAGTAGGTGGGTGGGGTCCTTGGGTTGTATCTTCATAGGAGAATAAAACTATAGTTATTAACGGGGTTTATGGGTGGGGAATCTTGGGGTGTGTATCACCAGGGGGTGGATAATAGTACCGGTCATTCAAAACAGTCAAGAGGTAAGGTCAACCCGTGCTTTTAAGGGTATAATGACCCCTCACCTCCCACTTCCGTCCAGTGGGAGCATCTCAGACCCTAGTGATAATACAACCCCTACCCTATAGCCCTTGACATGTAGTCACTACCCCTACCCCAGTATAATGATGCCAGTGTTCCTTTTAGGAACCTCACCTGACCCCCGTCGCTCTACACGCTACTGCTATTGGCCATACCACCCACCCCACCCCTGACCAGGAGAAAAATGTTTAAAAGATTTATAATCAGGCTGCGGTCGGAGGGCATGCAGAGGGTAAAGCAGAAAGGAGAACAGTGGCTGAAAAAATGTTGCATGATATAAGGAAGGGATGGGAATGGGCGAATGATGGATGTTTGATGTTTGATCTATGAACATGCTGAGCCTGAGGAGAATAGAGGAAAGGGAGAGTTTTCGGAAGAGGATCCTGTTGAGCTATCAAATTGCGGATTCGTTGGGGATCTTTGATAGGAGCTGAACTTCGTTACTGTATGTAGTCTGAGAGACTTTCATTGAAAACTTGTATTGCTATCGAAGTGATATTTCCTGATATTCTTCCCGTTTTCTTTAGGATTCATTAGCAAACGCCTTAATGACGTGCCACGTTCAAAGCATGTCTCCATGCTCGCCTTCATCGACCTCGACGATACCAGCGTATGATTCAGACAGTGCAGGAACAGATAGATCGAATCAGAACACTGGAGCAATGATGCAGAAACACAATTCATCGGGAGCGACTGACACGACATGCACTCTTGACCCGATCCAAGACTCTGGCTTCCATGGTATCAAGGAGTTCCCTGGTTCAATGGTGAAAAGCATCGACAAAGCGACGAAACCCAAGGAAAGTTACAATAAGACTCAGATTTCGAAGCAACCAAGGATGTGCGCATATGAGCATTGCCCTTCTCCCATGCATTCAAACAAGTGGAGGGTGGTCACCCCTCAAACGAGTGCAGGAGGCAGAGACTGGCTTCCTCTTCTGGGGATGACGTTGTGTGATTCTTGCTACTCAACCTACCGAAAGCATGCAACGTAAGCGTCCATATCTCTGCACTTCTCTGCTTCCTTGATCTCACTCCTCTGCAGATTTGTTCGATCCGTGCGCACAGCGGAGGGATGGGCTCGGTTCGATCGGGAGACCAAAGAACACGTGTTGAACAAGCCACGAAGTGGAAATGTGAAGCGCCTCAGAAACTTCGAGCCGGATCAAGACTCGCCGATCCGAAAGAGAGCGAAGTCAATGCGCAAGAATGATGCCTGGAAGGAGGTGACTGGAAATGCTGTGAAAAAGATTTTCATGTACGTTCTGACGATGCGAGCAGAGCAAAGAGGCGATGATGTACTCTGCATCGGATGAAAAAGAGGACGAGAGGATCGATCGTCCAAGTCGTGCACGAAAGCCTAGTGCAAAGCTAAGAGATGCTTTGAGGTGATGTTGCCTCGATCTGTCCTTGATCGCTGAGATCATTCCTTCAGTACAATCGATACAGCGTCGAAATCGGAGCGGAAATCTATCTTGCAAGCGAAGGTAAATGATTTTACTTGTTGGCGCATCAAGATCTCACTTCTCCAATCAGAGATCATTGGATTCCGGTAGCATGCCATGTTCAGATTCTCGACGAATGTCTTACACCTTGTACTTTCAAGCTGTTTGGTTCTTTGCTTCCTCACTTCTTGTAACAGGTTGGACCGTGAAGATATTTCCTACGATGCTTACAACTCAATGATGGGACTTGACGGTCAGCAAGAGCTCTCAAACAACGAGACGGAGGCGTGGTCTCCAGATGACGTAGGGAGTTTCTTTGCTGCGGTTCTGCGACTTACAAAGTCGCAGTTGCTGGAAGAATCATCAGAGGGAAACGAAGTCCTTCTATATCAAGATTACGAGGCCGTCATGGACAACATGTGCAACTTAGTTGGGTATGTCATGAGCAAGTCCTGGGATCTCTCCGCTGACCAGCTCGCAGCTCCTACTGCGAGTCGCCGCTACTTCTCGAGGGCGATCTCGCGTGAGGTCGAGAAAGAGGTCGAGCTCTGTAACCTAGCGAAGCATATGCTCTCGTGTATCATTATACAAGTTTCCTGATCTCTCTTAAATGAAGATTCATAATGGTTCCCAAAGTTTCCAGAGGTTCTCGCTCCCAGTACTTTGGACGGCCCGCTGGCCCATCATGGGGCCCATGAAGCTTGAAGAAGCTGCTGCATCCTTGTCCTAAGGCTGTCCTCCTCTCCTCTCATACCACCCATGGGATTTGCTGTGCGCGGCGGTGAGCTGAACTGAGAAGAGGGAGGAAGAGCAGCGCTGAGGGACATAGGTCGATGGTCCAGCGGAGAGGCGATGGTCTGGCAGCATGATCAGCAGGCGTTGGGTGACGGAGCAGCAGCACCTGTCGTAGGATGCGGAGCTGGTGGACGGTAAGCGAGATCCTCCGAGCCTCCAATAGGTTTTCCCACCAGCACTTGAAGGACCTGGCGAGGATCCTGTAGACCGTGAGGTCCCATGACCACAGGAGTAGGCGAAGGAGCAGGAGGACTTCGAGTCAGGGGAAGGGGGGAAGAGGGGAGGGAGGGAGGGGGGAAAAGAGAGACAGAGACAGTTGCAGAGAGGGAGAGGGAGAGAGGGAGAGGGAGGCAGGCAGGCAGGCAGGCAGGCAGGCAGGCAGCCTGGCTGGGAGGGAGGGAGGGAGGGAGGGAGGGAGGGAGGGAGGGAGGGAGAGAGAGAGGGAGAGAGTGAGTGAGTGAAGAGCAAGAGGAAGATTCGGGAGGAGGATGAAGTTGAGGTTGACGCTTGCTGGGAGGGGGCCTCACCTTATCCGCATCTTGGCCTCGTGCCCATTTTGAAGGATGCGCATGATGGTTGAAATGCGCACGGACAGGAAAACCTCTGTCTTCCACCTCCTCAGCGCGATCCAGACCATCCTCCGCTGCTCCCTCAGCTGCAGGGAGGAGGCGAGGGAGGAAAGGGAGGAGGGCGAGGAGGAGAGCTGTCGCCAGGAGGAGAGCAGCGCACGCAACCTCTCGCTCCTCTTCATCGTGCCGATCCGCTGGATCGCGTTGGCTCCGACCTTCCTCCTCCAATCGAACCATCTGAGCGTGCAGATCCATACATTTAGGCTCTTCCTCGCCACCTGCTCCTCCCTCCGTCCTCTCGCCCGCTCCTCCCTCCCCCGCACCCTCCTCCCTTCCTCAGCTACCCCTCTCCAACCCCCGGCCGCTCGCTCCTTCCTCCTCCACTCCGTCCTCTCCCTCACTCTCCAGTACGCCGCCTTCTCTGCCTGCCGTCGCCTCGTGCTCTCGCTCCAGGCCTGCATGCTCAGCTGAGCGGATCTGCGCCAGGAGCGGTAGTAGGCCTGCTCCTCGTTGCGCCGCAGCAATCGCTCAAACAGCATACTTCTTTTCCATCGCTCCATGCTTGTCTGTTTCTTCCTCCTCTGTTCTTCCTCTCTCTTCCTTTCAAGCTGCAAGCCGATCGCTTTGCTCCTCCACTTTTGCTGCTGTAGCAGACGAACGAGTCGAGCCAGGCGGTCGCCAGCCATCATTGCCTTCCTCGCGTGTCCCTCCAGCCCCCGTAGCCCCTTGTTCATCCTCCTCATCCTCCTCCTCTCCCCCGCTCTCTCCCCCTCCCCCTCCTGCATCCTCCTCACGACCTCAAGCCGCATCCTCCGCTTCCTCCGCTCCCTCCCTTCTGCATCCTCTAGCAACCCCCCGGCTAGCCCCGCTAGCCCTTCCTCTGCCCACTGCTTCTTTCTCACTCCCCGCCGCCACTCCTCCAGCCTCCTCCTCCCGTCTGCCGCCCGCCCGCCCTCCCTCATCTTGCTTGCGCTGATCCAGACTCTCGCTCTCCGTCGCCATGCCTGCAGCCGGACCCTGAGGGACCTGACAGCGACATCCACGGCGCATCTGGACAGGAGGCGGGAGGCCAGCAGCCTTCCTTCCCCTCGATTTCTCGCTAGCAGATGCCAGTGCAGGACAACGTTCCTCTCCTCCTTCCTCAAGGATTTCTCGTGCTGCTTTTCCCACCTCCTCCATGTCAAAGAGCTTGAGAACTCGTTCCACCTGTACAGCACCCTCCTCTGTACCTTCGACCTTGCCTGATCGCAGAATCTGTTCAACTTCCTTGTGACGGCACTGACATGAGAGATGCGCGCAGACCAAAACTCAACAACTAGCGCACACAGGTTGAGACGAGCTCTTCTCGTCTTCGATGACAACAGCTTCCTTCTCCATCGGTTTCTCATCAGGTCCTGCTTCATCAGCAGGAAACACATACTCATCCTGTTCCGGCAAGACGAGTCAAACTTACACATCAACATTCTCTCTTGTCTTCTTTGTCCCAACAGGTTCGATCGAAACTCTTTGAAACAGCTCGACAGCAAACATCGCCTTCGGGCAGAAAGAAGAAGTCGTGCGAACCTTTCAGAAGTTCTATTGTTGTCCTTCCACCGTCGCCAACATAGCAAGCACCTCTTCAGACTCTCTCTCTTGATCCAACGGGAAAATCTTCTCTTCTCCCACCAGTCTTGCAAACTCATCAGATACAACAATCTCCAATCACATGCCATCAGGTGGTTCAGTCGCCCATGAGCCAACAAAACGATCAGTCGCTGTGATACGGAAGCGTGTCTTTGCCGCTGAAACTGACCGACGGCACGTCCAGTTCCATCCTTGTCCCTGCTCCTTGCTGAAGCAAGATCCAACCATCCCAAGAGATCTTTGGACTGCATCCTCCCCGTCAACTTTATCCTGACCGCTAGGAATGCAAACATGCTCTTTACTTCCCGTGCTCTTGATCTCATGGCCAAGGACATCGACCATGCCAACATGGCGAACTTTCGCCTCTTCGCAGTCAGTCTGGAAGAGAGTCGGAGGCCATATTTCCTCCTGCTCGCAGCCCATCTGAGCGCGTGCAGGCTCATGCGCAGCATCTGATAAAGAGGGCGGGAAAACCTGTAGGCGGCGACGTACGGGATCTCGCTGATCTGATTGTGCGGGTGCACTACCGAGCACTTGACGAGCTCGTGGTCGTACAAGTTCACTCGTTGCTTCACTCCAGACTGCTCACACATTGAGTCCGCGAGCTCGTCCGTTGTCCGTGCAGCCGCCCCCTCTCTTCCGTCTGAAGGGAGCAGCAGGATCCTCCACTGCGGCCTCCCTCCTTCCAGCATCCACTCCTCCTCCTGCATGCCCATGACCCTCACTCGTTCCTTTGCAATCCCCAAAAGTCCGGCGACACACATCCTGATCTTTCCATGGCATCGTTGGCAACAAATACCCCTCCCTCCTCCTTTTCCTCCTCGTGCGATTTGCAACCTCCTGTCAGCAGCCCAACAATGGAAGGAGAGGAGGACGAGTCTGGGATCATCACACCCCATCATCATCATCGCAAGTTTGCGCTCCTCATCCTCTTCTTCTGCTTCCTCCCCCTCCCCCCCTTTCTCTTCCGCTTGCGCATCCGGCTGCATTACAGAGGAAAAAGAATCATGAATTGAAATCGGAATTGGTTTTTGTGGACTGTCATCAGAACGGTTTGATGTTTTTTTTTCACCTCAGTTCGAGTCACAGGCTGCTGAGCCCGGCCAGCCGCCAGTACGGTCCGATCACCCCAGTGAACGGGGTAACGACCCGGCGCCCGGCCGGACAGTGACAGGGCCAGGCTCTAGGTGACTCGGACCGTCCGATCCGGCGGCGACCGTCCGACTCCCGGGCCGGGCCCCGTTCACTGGGGTGATCGGACCGTACTGGCGGCCGGCCGGGCTCAGCGTCACACTCGTCGCCGGCCCCGGGCGGCGGCGCCGGCGGCCCGTGCCCTCCCGGGAGTCCGAGTCGCGGGGCCCACCGCCAAGTCGGATCGGACGGTCAGCCGGCGGGACTCCCGGCGGAAGCACCGGCAGGCTGAGGCGGGCTGAGGCGGGTCGTCATCACCGTAAAAATAATTGTTGTAGAGGCGTGATTTGATAACCGCCGGCATGGCTTGGGAGGCAGAGATACGATGAAAGGAGGACATGGCGAAGCGAAGGAAAGAACAAGAGATGCGAGATGCGATTCCATAAAACTTGATGTGACGATGGAGAGCAAGAGGTTGTTAGCAAGAGCCTGATGAAGGGAGAGAAGAGCGGGGAGGTAGCTTGTACTAGATGACGATCGGGACAAAGTTGCAAGCAAACAGAAATCCACCTGCTAGAAGGCATGCATGGATGCAGAGAGGTGTAGACAGATGGTTTTATCATAAAGAGGCATGCAATGAGGAAGCAGAACTGTGAGAGCACGGGTGACGAGGTTATGTGCGGGGAGAGGCGATCAGCACAAACTGTTTTTTTTGGGTGGGGGGAGGTGAAGGAGGGTACGAGCTTTGTGAAATTTGAGAAGCTCAAGTTTAGAGCAGGATGGGACTCGTTCCAGTCCGAGACAAGAGCATGCACCGGCATTGACACGCTCTGATCCCACCTTCGCAAGAAGGCAGCGGACGAAGGGGCCAGACCTGTTGAGCCAGTCGTGGCAGGAGCTTGCCTCAGTGGCGGGGGAGGAAGATGGGGAGGGGAAACATGAGCGTTCTAGCTGTGGACGTCTTGATTGATCCAAGACTGCGGACGAAGGATCTTGAGACAGTCTCCAAGAGCGCGAGCTGGGCCCGCAGGAGCAACGTGGGGACCCGATACTTTTCTAAGTCGCTCTGCTTGACCCCGAAACGATCCCGTGTTGGCAAGCAGAGCTCCAACAAGTCCCCAGCAGATGTCACGGAGGCCGCAAAGTTCTTCGACACGAGCCGGGGTGAGAGCCGGGGTGGTAGTGCTCGTATCTCAATGATGAGGGCAGGGAGTACGAGGGAGGCTAAAAGTCGGAGGTCGACTTCTCGGCTGGACGACGAGCCACGTCCCGGATCAACGGTGACTGACTGAAGGATAAAACCTCTTCTCTTACCTCTTTCAGTGGACTGTGCGGAACTCCATCTCCAAGATCGGAGACTTGCCCGAGAAGGTGAATCACTCACACAACATAGCACAACACAGCACAGGGTCTGTCGTCTTCCTCTGCCTCTTGCTTTTCCTCTTCTTTGTCCTCTTCTCATCCTCGTCGTCGTCGTCGTCGTCGTCGTCGTCGTCATCATCATCATCATCATCATCATCATCATCATCATCATCATCATCATCATCATCATCATCATCATCATCATCATCACCGCCATCTCCATGGTCTGATGTTGCTATCATGGAGCAGAGAACATCGTCTTCACCTATTAGAGTTAAGACAGCCATAACAAGTCGGAGACCCGTCAAGGACGACTTGAAAAATCCAAGCATATCGATCAGCCTGCTTTCCCAACGCTTCTCCGCATACGTGATGATGATCGATTCTTCAATTCGCGCTGTGACACTTCGAGAGCAGGATGAAAGAAAGCGAGCTCAGTGGTACGCCTTGAACCATCTCATGCGGATGCAGGTCAGTCGTGACAGTACGAGCTCGGAACTCAACAGTCTGACGCTCTTTGTGATAGGAGAATGCTCTTTGCAAGCAGTTCAGCCAGGACAGGATGACCAAGTGAGGAGATAGTATACATTCTGCTTGGATGTAAAGGGGAAGCGGAGAGAGGAGGCGGCCAGAGTGACCCATCATTCGGATCTACAGTCATGCCGACAGAGAGGGCAGATGACATGGGATTGGAACCACTGGGCACAAGAGAAGGTCGTCAGCAGCAGTCAAGTTGTAGATGAACAAAAAGAGGTTCGAGGGCGACAAAGATCTTCACCTTGGATATGCAGAGACGATGGAACAGATGTTTGCAGGGCAGTTTTTTCACCTTGTTGCCAACCTGCTTGGACATCAATATCTTGAAAGGAATTTCAAGGAGGGTAGTAAAGGAGAGCTGAAGAAACAGGAGGAGGAGAAGGCGAAGGCGGAAGGGGAGGGGAACGTGGAGGAGGAGGAGAGGAGGGGGGAGGGGGTAGGTGGAAAATGCAATAGGGAGCAGGGATCAACTTCGGAAAGACAGTAAACGGAAAGGACGAGAACAATCATGAAGAACTCCCTCCGACCCACCTTGAGCAGGTCCAGGCAGATCGCGCAAGTCTCATCACAAGCCTTCGAGACAGAGACAGTCTTAAACGAGTCCAGCAGGTGCCCGGGCAGGCCCGGCTGCTCGATCCTCGCGTCCAAGGAGAGGAGAAACTCATAGCTCAGCTGGCCCTGCGTGTCCACATGGTTGCTCTGCCCCTCCTCCGGCATCATCGCTGCTCGTCGGGGCCACTGCTCCACGTTGAGCCGCCTGGCAGCCGCTCCCCTCCTCGGGCCCGATGTGTCACCCCTGACCGCGGCCGGAAGATGAGGAGGTAACGCATGCACGAGCGACGCCTCGTCCTCTTGGTGGGGCAGAGCCGAGGAGGTCTGGCGAGTTGCTCGTTGTGCCGGTCTCATTACGGCCACCAGCCCGCCGGTAGGGAACCCCAGCTCTTCTGCTGACGGCATCCTCCGGCTACCTGCCGTCCTCGGGCCCGGGGCTGCGGGGCCTTCACTAATCCTCTGGGCCTCCAGTTTGGTCTTGAGGTCCCTGCTACCCCCACGGGGCTTCAAGCATGAGGCGAGGTCGCCTTCGAAGCCGAGCTCCTGGGCAGAGGGTCTTGTCCTTGAGTAGGATGACGAGGCATGCCTGCTCCTCCCGCTGTCTCCCTGCCCTTCTCTTGCCTCCAACTTCTGCCGAGGAGGAAGCAGGATGCTCTCTAGGTGACCTCCCCACTCGTCCACTGTCACCTTCTGCCTCCTCCCAGCGCAGCCCGAGCTCTCCCCGGGCGCGCGGATCCCCTGCTGCACATCCTGGTTCTCAATCTCGCGGCTGGCTGCCATGAGCTCCTGCTCTATCTCACGGATCCGAGATTCGATGTGCTCCTCCCGCTCCCGGAATGCCCTCGAGTTCCTGTAGCTGACCAGGTTCTGGCATGCTTGCCCCTCGCATGGTGAGCTTGCAGAGGAGGAGGCTCCGTCTGATCCTCCTTGCTTTCGAGCCGACATGCCCCCCATTGTTCTCTTGTCTTTGGCTATATGAAGCGCTTCCTTCACAGCCCATCCCTCCAACTCAGCTCGCCTTTCGCAGCCCTTCCTGACCGAGTGAGTCTTTCGGTTCGCTCCCGCTAAGACTGAAGCAAGATCTCCTTCCCACCCTATCCCGGCATCCTGCCTCTGATGCCGTGCTGCTGCTGCTGGATTCGATGCCACATCAAAGTCCTCCACGTGCGCCATCCCCCCTAAGAAAAACTGGCGTCAAACCCACTCAGAACTTGATCTGTTCAAGATTCCAACAACTCCCTTCACCAACCCTGTCAAGATATGAGATTCATCTCCTACTCTCATACATTCTCCTCCTCCTTCTCCTACATCCCCTGCATTCTCCTCCTCCTTCTCCTACATCCCCTGCATTCTCCTCCTCACTCTCCTACATCCCTTGCATTGTCAGCCCTACTAGCCGCCAACCTGCCAGCCACCATTCCTTCCTGTCCCTCCCTGCATCTCCCCGACAACAGCTCGATCGTTTCCGTTACACGAAATGTTGACGGTTATTGTAGCCATACCTACAGCCCACCCTAACCTTTCAAGCTATCTACACCCCACATCAAATTTGTGTACCCCCCGAATCTAGATAAATGAATTAATTAACCCCTACTTTTCTCAAAACCTTGCGGACGATATAAGGGGTACTTCAAGGCCACCCATCACAATCAAGTGTGAATGGTCTACCCCTACCCTCCAATTCTCTCTCCAGGCCCCTCAAAAGAACGTGCTCGAGGAGGAAACGAGGGAGAGCGAGCGAGGGAGGGAGGGAGGTCAACTGGAAGAGGAAGAGGAAGAGTACGCCAGCAGAGTGATAGCAGAGGAGGAGGACAGGGAAGGGGAAAGCAGACAGGGCACGTGGATTCAAGACCGTTCTCGCCGTCAAACATGGAGCTCCTGTTGATCCAGCAGGCAAGGGAGTAGGCAGCAGAACGCGCGTTTCATTATCCCAGTCCCTCTGCCTTGACGGAAGGACTAGGGAGGGAGGCGAGGAAACGCTTTCTGGCCGGTGTACAGGTGCTTCAAGCTTCACTCTGCTCTTATCGCACCCTCAACCAGGGAAAATATGTTCACGTTCTGGGGTTCAAAGATCATGCCGAACGTAACACCGTCTGAGACCTGTCTTCCGTTCCGACTGAAGATCACCTTGGCCACCCTCGACCCTGAAGAGGCCAAGAAGCTTCCTGTTGGGACGAGGATAAGCGTCTGGGCGACCCAGAAGGAGAGGGGACCGAAGGGGGCTCTGTCCGGGCAGAAGTCACTGATCGCCACTTTGAGGACGGGGGAGATAGAGACGGTGATCAGCAACCACGAGTTCTACGAGTCGACCCTCCTGTCCTTCTCTGTGCAGCCCAAGACTCAATCCTGCACAGTTCACTTGTCGGGCTATTTCGACCATGCGCATGACAAGCTCGACACCATTGACGACAACACCATCTCGTGGGCGCAGCTGCAGACACAACTCAAGTCCCTCCTCGCATCGGCTTCGGGGAACGATGACGACGAGGATGCAGAAGAGGAAGCTCGGTCACAGATACAAGGGATGAAGGCGCTCGTGGCCTCCGCACAGAACATGCAGCAGGAGTATGAAGCCAATGACGATGACGACGACGATGAGGATTACGAGGAGCAAGACGAAGATGATGACGACGAGGAGGAGGAGGAGGAGGAGGAGGAAGAGGAGGAGGAGGAGGAGGAGGAAGAGGAAGAGGTGAAGGCGAGTCCCATCACGAGAAGCAACAAGCCGCTTCCGTCTCCCTCCAAGGGCCTTCTAAAAAATCCTGCTTCTCCAGCCAGTCGGTCTCCGAAGACTGTTCGGATCGTCGAAGGTGCGGACGACGAGTTTCATGAACTTGGCAAGCGGAAGCATGAGCCGGATCTGCACTTGGGAGATACTATCGCACCGAAGCGTGCTAAGTCCCTGCTCTCAAACGAAAACCAGGACAAGAAACATCAGGACAACAGCTCCAAGCACGGGCAAGAGAAGCCAAAGAATCAGCAGATCACTAGTGTCCCCGTATTGAAGCCGAAGCCGAGGAATTTCCCAGGGTTCTCCTACACTGACGTAGCGATCGGGTCAGGGAAACAAGCGCAGCCAGGATCGAAAGTGACGGTGAAAGTGAAGGATCATAGCACGGGTAAGAAGGGAACCTACGAATCTTTGACCTTCATGGTCGGTCTCAGGGACGTCGCTACAGGGCTTGACAAGGGCGTCGTTGGGATAAGAGAAGGGGGGTCACGCGTGCTGCAGCTGGAGCCCAGTACCAACGATGTCAAGATCGGGTCTTTCCCCAAGGATGAAGCTGTTTCCCTCGACGTCGTCCTCGAGAAGGTGATTTGAAGCGAATGTTCCAACGTGGAGCAAGAGAGTCTGAGCAAAACTTTTCCATTAAGAACAAGTAATGAGGAGGAGGATTTTTTGAAAGTGATGGCGCAATAAATGGTGAAAAGAGCAGTTCCTTTATTACATGCGCTCTTATCTTCCAAATCTACGGCGAAGCCAGATTAAGTTCTGTAGAACCCAGCGCGAAGAACATCAGGCTCAAAAAATCATCCACGAGACTCGAGGCCTTTCGTTCTCTTTAGGCCTTTGCGTTCAAATCACGGCAATACGGAGCGTTGGGCTCGCCGAGGAGAACGGTCTTGCCGAGAGGACCAATCGATCCCTTCCTGCCATTCTGCGGGCCGGGAGGAGGAGTCTCACCCTTGCGCAGCTTCTCGATGATGGCGATGGCAGACTCGGGCTGAGAAGAGATGTCAGCTTCGAGCGCGGGCCGAACCCCCACTGACCGTTAGATCTTCGTAATAAGCGTCGTTGCAGATGGGTCCAGCGATCTGCATCATGGGGGCGTTGCAGCAGGCGCCGAGGCACTCTGCCTCCATCAGATGGAAGAGCCCATCCTTGGTGGTCTCTGCCAGAAGGCTCAGAAGTTGCACGAAACAGGGAGGTCTGGGCCTACCGCCAACTTCAATTCCCAGGTGTTTCTTGATAGCGTCAAGGATGGTGTAAGCTCCGATCCCGTAAGTTCCCACCATGCATGGCGTGGTCGTGCAGACCTGGTAGAGAAGATCAACCAGGATGACACAAACACGTCACCCATCACCTGAATGTTATGCTTTCCGATGGGTGTCCGATTGTACATGGTATAGAAAGTAGCCACCTCGTAAACACGCATGGGAGGCATATCCAGAATCTTAGCAATCTTGTTCATGGCAACGAGAGGGATCCATCCAGTGCTGCCATGCTCCGGCATGTGCTCGGTCTGCTTCTGAGCAAGGTGCAAGAGCGGCATGACGGCAGATCGCTTGTAGTTGCGAGGATACTTCTTTAGAATCTCGTCGATCTGCTTGTAGCTCTCGGGTGTGAAGTCCCACATGGTGTCCAGGTTGTTGTACTCGGTGTCACGATGCTGCGGCAGAGTTAGATCCACGCCAACCGAGCTCCCATGCTCCCCTTACCACGTTCACATGATCCGCGCTCAGTGGTCGTCCAGCGTGGAACATGCGAAAGCTCTGTCATGGGATGAGCGAATTTCGAACATGGAGAGCCATTTGTTACAGACCTGAGCCCCGAAGCGAGCATGCTTCGCAACAATATTCTGAATTCTACGTTGGACAAGTGACAGGGACATTCCTGGCTGCAAGTCAACCATACGACACGTAATGAATGCAACGTGAAACAAAGTAGCATGAGAACTGCTGCAGTACAAAGATGGAAGCAGCGTGATTCATGAGCTGGATTCTTGCAGAAGACAGACCCTCTGACACATTTCAGAGCCCTTTGGATGATATCTTCCTTCCGCTCTCTCCCCATTTTCTCGTTCCTCATCGCAGTATTCTCCGCCTCCTTCCACATCGTAACATGTTTCATCTCTGTCCAGTCGGCTTCTGCATGTACATTCTTCCTCCTCTTCCTGTACTTCTTCTCCTCTTCGTCTGCGCTCATTCGTGTCTCGATCTCCTCCACCCTCCTCCCCTCCCTTTCCACCATCTGCCCTTTCTAACTTCCATTGCCGCGGCTGTCATTGACTAGGTCGCTATGACCCTGCTACCACCTCGCTATGACCTCTGAACACCTCTACACAACCCCTCCAATAAGTACCCACCATGGGCATGCTCACCAAATTTGCCTAAGAAGTACCCCTCTTTTGGACCATTTTTTGAGTACCCACCCATAGATCTTGCACGTTACAAACGTGATTTGCTACAACAGGAAAGAAACGGTCAACGTTTATGTTGCAACGATTCTAACCATCGGGATCCAGGCCATGGTCGGACAAGCATGACGGTGGGTAACGAGATGAGGAGCAGGAGGAACAGGATGAGGAAGAAGAGCGAAAGGAGCAGGAGCTGTACAGCTGAAGGAAGAGAACGATGTTGAAGAAGAGGAGGACTTTTGCTGAACGATCTTGGCAGAGCATGGAGCTTTCAGCATGGAACTGATGCGATAGATCTGCATCTTACTATCTGCCATGGTAAAGCGGCTCTCGGTGGTTGTGACGGCCATCGTTGTCGGCATTGTAGCAGGAAGCTTCGTAGGTGATGCAAGATCAAGGTCTCAACTAAGGTGATCCAACATTCTGGTACAGTGACAGTATGCTCGAATGGGATCGCAAGGCTCCAAGAGGAGCTTGGTGGTGTGAACGAGACCATTCACAGTGAGCGAACAACTCATGGTATCAGCTGCGCACATGATGACGTCTGGTTGTCTGGCAGGTAGCAAGATGCAAGTCTCCTTGTTGCAGTACACCGATGACCCCCAGGTCAACTTCCTTCCAGTGACCCGAACGTCCATGCTGATAGATACATTCCTGTAGGACTTCAGAGATTCAATCGAGCAGTGGTCCCTCCATCTGCAAGAAGTGAGACACGGCAGAGCTTGATGTCATCATGAACTCACCCTATCCCTCTCCCCCTCCCTTCCTCTCTGGCCCTCTTGCCCTGCGTGCATTTCCTAGATGACGTCACTCGGAAGAAACATCGTTGCTGAGATCTTGAACGAACAACCCCTCATGAAGCAATCTTCGTACCTCGCTGGTGATCATTATGGCAAGCACCTCGCACCTCACACGCTGAAACTCTCCTCTTGCCTCGCATCATCAGCGGTAGCCCTCCCTCTCAGCATCGCCTGCCTCTCGTGCGGGTACTTGGCTAGTGGTGAGGAGACAAGTTGTGTTGCCTTGCTCCTTCTGACGAGCATCGAAGACCTCTTGGGGACATTCCTTGTCTCCGCTCTCCTCTCCTCATTGATGGGCTGCTTGCCGGTTGTGCCGCTGGTCCCGATGCTGCGAGGAGTGAACGTGGCGCCTGCAGGTGCTCAAGACTATGGCGAGCATGAACGACGGGATGAGAGAGATTCTAGGTGACCGATGCGCTCTCTGATACCTCCGAGGAGTGAGCAGAGCGAGCAGATGAAGCAGCAGGGCCAGTCATGCAGGAGCTGCTCCATCGCAGGTTGCGTTCAGGGGGGAAAGCGACTCGGCACTGACGGCGTTTGGGCTGGCAGCAACGCAAACGATGAATATCTGCAGCTGATGCTGTTTGTGACTGGTAGTCGCATATTGCATGCGATCATTACCATGGAGATGATTTTCTGTCCTCCTCCTGCTCCTGCTCCTGCTCCTGCTCCTGCTCCTGCTTCTCCACCTTCTCCACCTTCTCCACCACCTCTTCCTCCTCTGTCTTGCAGGTCACTTGCGACGAATCGATGAGAGTCCTCCATGGATGTGCGTAGGTCCAGGGGATCTGGGGCTGAAACTTCTCGGTCGGAGCCTGTCAAGGCATGTCACTTTCAGCTCGCACAAGTATGGATGGTAAGCCTTGAAAGCTGCAGGTTGTGGAGATCTGATTTATCCCCTCTTCCTCCTCCTCCTCCTCCTCCTCCTCCTCCTCCTTCTCCTCCTCTTCCTCCTCCTCCTCCTCCTCTTCCTCTTCTACCTCCTCTTGTACTTTCTCCAATACCCTTCGCCCTTGTGCTGTCTTCTGTTACCTCACGGTCCAACTTTTCAACTCATCTATCGTTCTCCCTGCTCTCGCTCCTTCTCCACTCCCCCATTCCTCTCCGCCGGCGCTGCCTCGTCCCCTCCCCTTTCGCCTCTCTTCTCCCCATTCTCCCTCCCCCTTCCTCCCCTCCTCTACCCCTTGTTCCCTTCTGTTCTTCTCCCTCTCTTTCCTCGTCGTCTTCAGGGCTTTCACCGAGGGTTGTGTCCCCGTCACTTGGGACGTGATGAGATGGTCGGCCATGGCAGCGACGTCCTTCGTGTCGGCTGGTGAGGAGCGAGAGGGGATGGAGGGCAGAAGGCTGATATCAAAATGCAGTCTTGCTGAAGAGATGCATCCGGTTCAAGACTTTCTGAGGGAAAGAGGAAGGGGGGGAGGGAGGAAGAGGAAGGGAGGAGTTGGAGGAGGGGAGGGAGAGGGAGAGGAAGAGGGGAGGAGAGAATTTCAAAGATTCCATTAGGGTTGTCTTGTCTGTACAGAACTTGAAGAAAGGTGTGAGCATTTCATTCGGTGTTGCTCGTTCAGACATTTACAAATAGACATTGAGGGAGGGAAAGGCAGAGCCGGAGGAGGGGCGAGGAAAGGAGGAGCAATAGGAGAAAGGGATCGCTACAGGGGAATGACAAGGAAGGCAGAGGGTGAAGATGGGATTTCGCTGGGAGAATGAAGAGAAGGGATTGAAGTCGGGATAATCAGCTGCAGCTGTGGGAGAATGTCGAGGACGAGGACGAGGACGAGGACGAGGAAGAGGACGAGGAAGAGGACGAGGACGAGGACGAGGACGAGGACGAAGAGGTGGTGGTGGTGGTGGTGGTGGTGGTGGTGGAGCAGGAGGAGGAGGGGGAGGAGGGAGAGGAGGAGGAGCTGTACGTGTGGGTTTGAATCTCTCATCGCTGCCTCAAGCAGGGTCAACGAACCCAACGACTCTCCCCCCGTTCCGCTCGTCCACATCATCGAATTTGCTCAGCGAGATGCTGGAGTCCCGCAGCTCGACGATGGCCTCCTCCCCATCCGCCCCCACCCCGTACTGGCCGCACTCGACGATGCTGCAGGAGACGAGCAGGAGCTTTCCTGCCCCAGCAGCGATCACCCCGGACCCCCGCTGACTGTGCAGGACGCATTCCTTCAGTTCCACCGACCCCTTCCTCGTCCTCATGACGTAGATGCCTCCGCTCCAGTAGTCCTCCGCCCCGTCACCCAGCAGCTGCTTCATCGTGACTTGCTCCATCCTCACGTTCCTCGCCGCGACCTCCAAGAGGCTGTGGACCTCGATGAGCAGGATGCAGCTCTCCGCAGTAACTGCCTGCTCCGACTGCAGCGAGACGTCGCGGACCCACTGGATCGTGTCCAACACCTTGTGCTCCCCCCTCTTCAGCACGATCATCGACCCCTCTGCGATCTCACACGCCGCATGTGCTGTGCTGCTCTTCCCCGTGGTCGCCGCATCCTTGATCGCCTGCTCCGCGCTCGTGTACGGCATCGTCTTCCTGTGCCGGTCCGATCGACGAGGAGCAAATTCTCCTGTCGGCTGCACGACGATGGCGACGCTGTCCCTCACCTCCTCGGCATGCAGCTTGCGCTCGTACGCCTCTTCCTTGTACTCCGCCGCCTTTCCCCTCAGCTCCCCGTCCCCGAGGATCTCGAAGGCCTTCTCCGCCTCCTCGAAGAGACTCTCTGCTGTCTGGAAGCAGGAGGGCCCTTCGTTCGCCACGTCCTCCCAGCAAGAGAAGCTCTCCTTCCTGCTCAGCGTCTCCAGCCCCCTCCTCATCTTCACGTGCCCTTCCTCCGCCAGCCTCCTCTTGCTGATCGCATCATCGCACAGCATCCTCGCATACTTGCCGTTGACAGCATCTTCGATCTCCCCCAGCAGCTGAGCTGCCTGCTCGTATGCATGGTGGGCATCCCCGTACCTCCTTCCGAGGATCCCCAGCTGACCCTCCAGCAGGAGCTCCCAGGCTCGGGATTGCGTCTCCACGCACCTCTCCGCCCACTTCTCTCTCTCCTCCGCCTCCGCCGCGTTCTCCTCGTCGTCGATCTCGCAGAACAGGAGCTTGCTCGCGCGCAAAGTCTCCATGCTCTCCTTGTACATGAGCCGATGCAGCCTCTTCCTGCCCTCCACGTCCTCCAGCGGATAGTCCTCGTCGATCGAGTGCCGCAGGTAGGGAAGGCTACACCTCTCATCCCGCCCTCCTCCTCCTCCTCCTCCTCCTCCTCCTCCTCCTCCTCCTCCTCCTCCTCCTCCTCCTCCTCCTCCTTTCTCTCCAAAGACGATGATCTTCCCCTGCATGGTAGTTTCGCACATGTACTTGTCCTTCTCCCTCATCCCCTCCTGCAACATCGCCGCCGCCTCCTCCGCTTTCCTCCCGAACTTCTCGCCATGCTGTCTCAACTCGATCGCCATCGTCTGAATCTTCTCGTCCCCAATATCTGCCATGAGCTGCGAGGCGAACCCGAACCTCTCCGCCGCCTCCTTGTGGTTCCTGATCATGATCGAGCTCCCGAGCTTGTAGAGCGGGGATGGAGAGTAGCCTTCGACAGGAGCCCGGATCCTCTCCTTTCTCAGCTGCACTCCCTCCATGAGCAACTCGTGCGCCCTCACCTGCTTCTCAAGCTGCACGGTGGTGGCGGTGAGCTGCATGCGACAGGACGCAGCAGACTGCGCGTCCCCGAAGGAGGAGAAGAGCTCCTGGGAGGTGCGGAAGCAGTCGGTTGCCTCCTTCAGCATGAGCCTGCTGAACGGATAGTCCTCCATGTCACAGCGCTGGGAAACATACGAGCGAGCGTCCTGCAGGTTCTTCCTCGCCTCCTCCTGCACCCGCCGCTTCTCCCTGGCCTCCTGCAGCCTCGCGATTGACAAGAAGCAACTCCTTGCGTGCCCCAGCGTCCCGTACAGCTCGCTGACCCCCTCCAGCTCCTGTATCGCGTCCTGGAATTCAAACCCGCGGATCAGCTCCCCTCCTCTCGCCATCCTCTCATCCAGCCGGACCCGCAGCTCATGGAAGCTCGCCATCTTCTGTGAGAGCTCCCCTGCCCACCCCGCCGCTTCCTCCCCCCACCAGAAGTGCCTCATCAGCTCGCTGGCCCTCTGGAAGCACCGGGAGGACTCAAGGAAGTCGAACTCAAGGCAAGCGTTCCTAGCGCTCCACCACTGCTGGTTCGCCTGCCGGATGGAGGAGGAGGGGAAATCTAGCTCTTCCAGCACGAGCCTGTGGATGTCCTCCAAGGAAGTGAACAATCCCACCTTGTCAAGCAGCAGCAGTGCCGCATCTTCAGACTGAGCAGCGATCTCCGACTCGATCTTCTCGGGGTCGAGGGGGCCAGGGGCAACCCAGTCACCACATGGCACCCCCTGCTCTACCTCGAGCTCCAGCTCCTCCACCGGGTCCTCAAAGTGGAAGAGGAGGCTGTTGGACGGGTGGTACCACAGCCCGTCTGCTCCAGGCTGGGACATGGCGCTGACCAACCGGCTCATGCACACGTCGAAGGATGCGCGCACCGTCAAGTTCCCGCCCTCCTTTATCCTTGTCAGCCCGGCCTTGTCGGGGTTGAGGATGCAGCTGCGATAGGTGCTGTCGCTCACCACAGAGAAGATGTCCTCCGAGCAGAACTTGAGAGCAAGAAATGCTGCCGGCTGTCCTGACCGGCTCTTCAACGTCGGATCTGCTCTAGAGCTCAGGAGCGTCCGCACGGTCTCCATCGAGTTGCTGTGCCGGCAAGCCACGTGGAGCGCAGTGTATCCGTCCGATGGCCTCTGGAAGTCCAGCACACTCCCAGCTGCAGCCAGAGGCTCCAGCAGCTCGTAGGTGCCGAACCGAGCAGAGACATGCAGGGAGGTGCTTCCTGTCAGGTCCTGCAGGTTTGGATCCGCCCGGTACTCCATCAGGACACGGAAAGTTTCCAGCGACCCTTCTCGGGCACAGCAGTGCAGGGGAGACCATCGCTTGTCCCGGTCCTGGGCGTTTACCGTGGCACCTCCTTGCAGCAGCAGCCTGACGCACTCCGAGCGGCCTCTGATGGAGGCAAGATGCAGGGGGGTTTCCCCTACGGAGTTGGTGGCGTTCAGCACCAAGTCGACAGCGTCCCGCGCTCTCTCCGGCTCGTCTTCCATGTCCGAGGCATCCGCAACGAGTGGGTCAGAGGAGGAGGCAGCCTCTATGATGTACTTCACCGCCTCTTCCTTCCCATGCTCCGCAGCCTTGTGCAGGGCGGTATCCCCCATGCTCCCCCTAAACAAGAGCGGAGTCTTCTTGTTGAACCTGCCATGGCTTCCTGGTGGTCGTCCAACTACCACAGGAGGATGAGGATCATCTCGATCGAACAGTCCTCCTCGGTCTCTGTCATGACCCTCCACCTGCTTCCGCAGCTCCTCCACGTCGCCCTCCCCCGCTGCCAGCAGCATTGAATCGCTCCTACCACAAAGGTTTAGCTCTCACAACCTAATCGTATCACATAAGCGCCCGGGCAGTGAGTGCCACCTTTCACTACCGTACTGAGTACTACACCGGGCCGCACTGAACCCGGGCCGGTGACCGTCACTAGTAACTAGTAACTTGAAACTGCAGCAGCGGCCCGGGTTCCGAGCCCGGCCCGGGCCCGCGACTCGGATGATCTGAGGACTGACGGTGACCGTCGGAGATTCATCCGACCGCATGTGACCGCAATGCAAATCAGATGATATGCTCAGTCACCGTAAATCCCCAACATGAGACCGTACGGTACGATACCGTAGTACGGCCGCCAGCCGCCGTGACTGTTACACCTCCGAGTCCGTGACCCTGCAGGCTGTGCGCGGCCACCGTGCCACGGTGCCTCCAGCGGCCCGTGGAGCCGCCCGGCGCTCAGTGGCCACTGGGCCGGGCGGCCCGGTCCTCGATGCGCTGCCGGGCACTGTGGCGGGCGGCCGACCGTGTCAGTCAGCACTGGCACAGTACTAGTAGCGGCGGCACGGCCGGGGGGGGGGGCGGGGCCACCGCCGCCGCTAGGCTACCGGTAATACCGTAGTACCGCAGTGTAATGATGCGGCTATCATGGCATATCGGATGCTTGAGCCCGTCTGGCGGTTAGCTGAGAGCCGCCTGATCAACTTGGGGTACCGAGATGACACTAGCATGCAAGCATGTAGTTACACATCAAGTTTATATCAGTCAGTCCATCAAGTGATCGGAGGTAAGTCATGCGGGAGCTGACGGTCTAAACCACCACCATGCAGAGTTCTCGTTGGCGCAGGCAGCTTCAACAAACTTCTGCTGAGAGCTGTCGGGAGCGAACTGAATGGCTGCAGGATTGCTTTGAATGGCTGCCAGCACAACGTCATCGGTTTTCATAGAGTCAGGAAGGATGGAAAGAGCAGCTCCATTGCACTTAACAGCAGCCATGACGACTTCTGGATCTTTCAAGAGAGCTGGTGACGCATATGTAAGAGCGAAAGCTTGCTTTGAAACAATGGCCATCACAGTCTCCTTGTCGCTTCTTCTCTCTTCGCTTGCCTTTGCAAACATCAACTCGTCATTCTGACAAGCTGCAATAACAACATCTTTGTCGTTCTGCAAAGAACTGCTCGCAAGAGTGAATGCAAATCCATTCTGCCTGGCGGCTGCGAGTACAATCTCTTTGTCGTTTCTAAATCTTTCATCTGCTTTGAGAAGATTGTTCCCATCCTTGGTTACAGCCTCCAACACGTACAAGCGATTCGACCAAAGTGATTCCATGGTATTTGCGGCAATCAGTCTTGCCACTTGTCTCTCTCAATACCTTCCCCTTGCTCCTTTCATTCCATCATTGATGACCCTGCAACATCTCCTCAGATATCAAACAAGATCAATTGTCATCTCTTCGGATTCTTTTGATAAAACATTCTGCTCGACCGATCTCTACCCTACTCATTCCATCTTTCCCTGCAAACATCCAAGTTTTCCGGAGGCAAATGCACACAAACATCGATCGAGCAATGTGATTTTTATCCTAGCTTCTACCTTTTGTCGGATATTGTTATGTTCCTGTCTCGGCGAAGGTAGATCGAGCAACTTCAACTTCTTACCATGAGAGACTTGCTGGGATTCTATCCTTCTCCCATCCTCCTCACCTCCCTTGCCCATCAAGTCCTTCTCAGCCCTCCACTCCCCTTCTCCTTCTCTCTGCATCGTTCGCTTCCCATGTGCCATGGCTATTCCTCACGATATGCAGCCATGCCGCAAATACATGGCTTCGGTTACATCAATCGTTGCTACCGATCAGAAAGCTGTAACGGAAATCAACGGTAGGAACCAACGGCAACCGCCCGTTGGGTTGTGAGGGGTAGGGTACTCGTTGATAGGGTACTTTGAGGACGATTTCGTCAAGTACCGGTGCATTATACTATTATCTAATGGGGTATTTATGACCCCTCATGGGGTAGTAGGTCAGTTCAAGCACTTGGATAGGGTGGGGTCGAGAGTGAGCATTGGAGTGGAGCGGTGGAATGTCCAAGACGGTGGAGCTCGAGAAGGAGCTGGCGGAGCTGCACAGCCGGTACAAGCAGGCAGAGGAGGAGAAGGATGGAGCCAAGGTGCTCAAGAAGCAGCGAGCGTCCATCGAGAGGCTGCGGAGGGACAACGATCAGCTCAGGAAGGACTTGGATCTTGATAAGGGTATGCGCAGCTCGCAGGTCAGGAGCAAGTCAGCGCTGGATCACCATGCATCCATGTCGTCACAGCTCAACAAGCTTCAGGACCAGGCGGAATCTTACACGAAGAGGATCGAGACGGAAAAGAAGAGGATCGAGGAGCTGGACTCGAGCATCAAGGATTTGAATGAGAAGGTCCTGGAGCAACGTAAGAAGGTTGGGGGGGCGAATGCGGTCCGGGAAAACAATTTGAAGTCTCAGAAGCACATTCAGCTGCTTGAGAACAGACTCGACAAGTCCCTTCTCAAGTTCAACGAGGCTCTCGCAAACAACAAGCAACTGAGGGTCTCACATGTAGTCCGCTTGCAAGTCTTGAACTAACATGTCTTGGCAGGAATCGATCGACAACCTGAGGAGAGAGAAGCAGGGGTTCGATCAGATCTACAAGAAGCTGGAAAAAGATCTCAACGAAAAGAAAAACGAGATGCAAAAGATCATAGAGATGTCCAATGTTGCGTATGAAGTGAGGGACAAAGCGCAGCAGGAGATGGCGATGTTGAAGATTCAGGCGGATCGGGAGCAGGCGAGCTTCGAGGCGGAATGGAAGGAGCTGGGAAAGTTGATCGAGGATGATCGAAAGATGAAGGAGCTGATGCGTCAGAGAGAGAAGGCAGGGATCGGACCCAACGGCAAGTTCGAGGACGAGGACAAGCTGAGAAAGAAGATCATGAAAGGAAACTCATCCATCTCCAAGGACAAGGCAGCGCAACAAGCAGCACTGCACAAGGTCCAGTCGTATGAAGAAGCTTTTGCCAAGATACAAGCATCGACAGGGATCTCAGACATCGACGAGCTGGTTGCGACGTTCATCGAGGCAGAGGACAAGAATTTCTCTCTCTTCAACTACGTGAACGAGCTGAATAACGAAGTGGAGAAGCTTGAGGAGCAGATTGCTGATACCAGGATGGAAATTGAAAAGCACAGGGGGAAAGGACAAAACAACGACAACCAAAGAAAGCAGATCTTGATAGACTTGGAAGACAAGTTGGCAAAGGTGGAGCGACATTGTTTTGTTGCTTTCTTGTGAAGTTTCCTTATCCCTCGTCGCAGACTGAAGCTAAAGCTGAGCAATTTGAAGCGCGAGCAGCAAAGACTATGCAGACTATGAACATTCTGAAAGAAGGGATTCAGGTTCGAGAGAGGCAGAAGGGAGGGAGGGAAGGAGGAAGGGAGCGAAAGAAGGAGGGAGAGAGGGAGGAAAGAAGGGAGGGAGAGAAGGAGGGAGGGAGGGTTTTATCCTCACACTCTCTGCGCGTCAGGACACTTTCAACAAGATCGGGTGCAACGCCGAGCTCGTGAACGCGGTGATGGGGAACCAGGGAGTGACGGAGGGCAATATGATGCAGTACCTGGGCATCATCGAGCAGAGGACCAACGAGATCCTCCAGATGTACACGGCAGCGCAGATGAAGGAGACAGGACACGACGAGACCAGCCCGGAGATTCAGGTGACGAAGCTCGCAGCCGCAGGCTCGTACTCCCCTGACATGCCCGGCAGACCAAGTTGGCTGCCATCCTTGGACAGGGCCCGAAGGTCCCGCTGGGGTCAGGGAAGGTGGAGGTGGTACCTCCTCCTGCCAGCGGGGAGCTAGAGTCGGAGGAGGGCTCGGAGGAGGAGGAGGAGGACGAGAGGCCCTTGACGCGGGACGAGCTGAAAGCCAAGACCCTCCGGAGCCTTGCGAAACGAGAGATGATAGACAGAGAAGGTCCATGCTTCCCGTTATCCCTCCTCCTCCTCCCTCCCTCCTCCTCCCTCCCTCCTCCTCCTTTCTCCCTCCTCCCCTCCCTCCTCCCCTCCCTCCTCCTCCCTCTTCTTCCCCTCCCCCGTCCCTTTCTCCTTCCTCTACCGTTACCCGCCTCCCGTCTCTCCTCCACTGAACCTTTGTAGATTCAAAGGTCAAGGACGTTTCGACTTCGCACAAGACGCCATGAAGGCGGAGGCAGCTGCTGTTTGTGTCATTGTATGTAGATACACCCACCATTCTGTTGCAAGATTTCCTTTGTTGAACAAGAAGAAAAGCGACTGTAAAAAACATCCCTTGCAGCACGAGTCTTCTCAAACTTTCTCGAAGGCTGCGATGAAAAATCCGTTGGTGTCCAAATCATCACAAGGTTCAAATCTCTGCACAAACTGTCGCTGCTCATCGTCAAGCCCGCAGCCTGCTCTCCCTGCCGCTGCCCGTTATTCCCCTCCCCTCCTCTCCTCTCCTCTCCTCTCCTCTCCTCTCCTCTCCTCTCCTCTCCTCTCCTCTCCTCTCCTCTCCCCTCCCCTCCTCTCGTTTCCCCCTCCTTTTCCTGCCAGCCCTCTCCATCCATCCTTCATTCCGAAGTTCTCCTCTTAATCATCTGCAAATTGTTCCGCCCTTTCCCCATCCACTGCTTTCCTTCTCTTTCCTTCTTCTCCTTCTCCTCCTTTTTCTGCTCCTGTTTCTGCTCTTCCTCCTTCTTCTCCTTCCCCTCTCCCTTCCTCTGCCTGTCCGATTCTGGTCTACCTGGTTTAGCAACGATGGGAGAGGCTCGCAAGAGCTTGAGCGGGAGAGCCTTGAGAGCCCAGGCGACGTTACACTCGTTCTCCTCCGGGTTGATGGTGCAAGTGGAGTAAACCAGCCGTCCTCCGGTCTGGAGAAGTACGAAGGGAATGTAAGGGGATTGAGGAGCAGGAAGAGGAAGGGGGGAGGGGAAGGGGAGAGGAGGATGGGGAGGATGGGGAGGATGGGGTTGAAGCAGGAGGAGGCAGAAGAGTAGGGGGATCAGCCAAGACTTGTTCAGCAGATGCAGGACGGACCTTTAGAAGTCCAACAGCAACGTGCATCATCCTCCTCTGATACGCGGGAGTTCGCTCCATCTCAATGGGAGGGATGTCGACTGCGAGGCGAGGACGGAGCCCCAGCGCTGTACCTGCGAGGACAGTGAGAGGAGGGAAAAGGCTGGTGGTGGTGGTGGTGATGATGGTGATGGTTATGATGGTGGTGGTGGTGGTACTGACATGGAGGGTCGAGGATAATCCTGTCGAAAAGCTCGTCGAACTGAATCTTCTTCTTGACCTCCCCTCCTACTCCTCCTCCACTGGGCTCCACAGCATCAACCTCCAGCTCCTCTGCAGCAGCATGAGAGATTGCAGGAGGGGAGGTGGGGGAGAGAGGAGGAGGAGGAGGAGGAGGAGGAGGAGGCAAAAGATGGTGGTGGAGGGCAGGCTTACCTGGCAGCGGCACGTTGCCTCCAACAGGAGGGATGGAGGAGGAGTCTCCTTTGAGGACCCACACGTTCTTAAGCCCAAGGTGCTGCGCGTTCTCGCGGATGACGGCTGCCTGCCATGCCGCCCTCCCCCTTCAGTTCCCCCGTGCACGCCTCCTCCTCTCATCCCCCTCCTCCTCTCATTCTCTCCCTCCTCCTATCCCCTCCCACCTCTACAGTCTGCCCTGCTGTAAATATTTCAATCCCATCAAGTGCATTCTCTTTTCATCTTCATCATTATCTCCCTGAACATCCTCTCTATATTCCACCCCTTCCTCCTCATCCGCTCCTTTTCTCCCTCATCGCACTCATTGCCTCTTCCTGCTCCTGCTCCTCTTCCTGCTCCTGCTCCTGCTCCTGCTCCTGCTCCTGCTCCTGCTCCTGCTCCATCTCATAGTCTTCACCTTTGCCTGCGTCCGATCGATGGCCGTCACGCTCCCCTCCCCTTGCATGATCGCTGCAGCTGCACGTTCTCCTCCTCAGTCCCCTCCTCCTCATCCGTAGCGCAACTTCACCGTGCGTCGTCTTCCCTCCCGGCGAGGCACACATATCTAGGATCCTCTCGCCCGGCTGCGGGTCAAGCACATGCCCGACTACGATCGAAGGAAAGTTCTGGACGTACATGAGGCCGGGGAGCAGCCCGTTGAGGGGAGGGGCGCGAAAGCTGCAAGGCGCTATGGCGTCAGAGGGAGGAGGAAGACGATGAGGAAAGCGTTGACAGGAATGAGTAGGAGAGGAAGAACCATGGGAGGAGGGAGGGAGGAGGGAGGAGGGAGTGGAGGGAGTGGAGGGAGTGGAGGGAGGAGGGAGGAGGGAGGAGGGAGGAGTCTTACATGCATTCTGTCATGATGCAGCCCAGACCTTCCTTGGCGCTCATGGCGACCCTGCGGTCGACCTGCATGACTCCCTTGCCGATGACGACGATGCCCTCCGGTAGCTCCGGGAACGAGGCGTCGGATGAGCTGGCGTCAAGGTCAGGAGGGCACATGCTGAGGTAGGAGGGGACAAGGGGGGTGTCTGGTAAGGGAGGGTGGGAGGGAGGGGGTAGAGATGGGGGCGAGCAGCCGACGAGTGGAGTGCGGAGACCAGGTGGAGTGGGTGGAGATGGCAGGACGGAAGGGGGAGAGGAGAGGTTGGAGAGGAGGAGGGAGATAGAGAAGAGGGAGAGGAGGGAGAGGCAACGAGCAGAGCACAAGGAAGGAGATGTCGGGGACGACAGGGCAGGGCTTCACCGGTTTGTATCGCCGTAGAGGTGAGAGAGCTTGGAGTTGTTCAGCCTGAACTGCTGCTTCTTCTCATCTGACACCTCATGCATGTGGTTGCTGACGAAGCCTTTCATCCTCTTGGGATCCAGCTTCCTCGTGCTCAGGATGTGCGTGCTCGCCCCCCGCAGGAACCTGTCCTGCACGTCGCACAGCACTGTCACCACGTCTCCCTTCGCTGTGTGTGGGGAGCATCCCATCATGCCGGGGATGAAGATGTGGGACCCCCGAAGAACGGCCTCTGCGCACCTCCTCGACACCACTAGCTCCCGCCCCTCTGGAAGTATCTCCCGCGCGTCATGCTCGTCGGGCCGGATCACCACGGCGTCCCCGATCACTTCATGCACGCGCACCTCGCCGTAGCGGCTGACCCCTGCATGCTCCGAGGGGCCCTCCCTCACCGCAAGCCTCTCCAGCTCCTCTCGCATCCTCCCCGCCAGCTCCTCGCCCGAGATCCTCACGGTGTTGGCCCGCACGCATGAATGCGCCGGAGGGCGGGCTAGTGCGTTACAGACCCTCTCGAGCTCGTCCTCCTCGTAGAAACGAAGAAGCGGCTGGCGGACATGGTCTGGGAGGTGCGTCCTCCAAGCAAGAGCCGCCGCATGCGCCATCACAGGCAGCAGCGCATGCAGGAGCAACGCGCGGCCTCGTATGATGAGGATACGGCCAATCAAAAACCTGGGGTTGTGAAAGCAGGGAGGCAGGAAAGGGAGAAAGTCAAGGGGTGGAGGCGGGGGTGGGGGAGCAGGGAGCGAGCGGGGGAGGGATGGAGGTGGAACGCTCGGAGCGGGCAGCTCGAGATCAGGATGGGTCAGGGGAGAGCAGGAGGAGGAGGGCGAGCAGAGGCGATGGAGAGCAGTAAAGGCGAGGGTGTGGAGGAACAAAACTTGCTAGTGGAAGAGGAGATGCTGGGGAAGTAAACACGTTTTATTCGCTATGAATAAGGAGGAGGAGGTTCGTCGGAAGGAAGAGGAGGAGGAGGAAGAGGAATGTCGTCGTCGGCAGCAGGAGCATGTGCGATCTGCACCGAACAACCCTCAGTCCTGATGCAGTCGAATAGGAGGATCACGATACCTTCTGGCCTCGGAGCGGAGGAGTTTTCTGCATGAGAGGAGAGGAGAGGATGGGACCCAAAAAAGCAGGTAGAGATGAAGGAAGAGGAGAGAAGAGGGAGCAAGGGGATGGGGAGGAGAAAGCAGCGCAGAAGAGAAGGGATGGAGGCGGGAGTGGGAAGAGTCGCAAAGGGAGGAGAGAGGAGAGGGGAGAGGAGGTCAAGAAGATTCAAACCATGTCATGGTATACCTTGGAGGAAGAGCTCTTCTTGGACATAGAGAACCAGCTGCTGCTTTCCTTCTCCAGGGCAGGAGGTGGAGGCTCTGCCGCTGCGTTGCTCCTACTCTCCTCCTCTGCGGAGCATGCACAGTCAGGTCAGGTACACGGTGGGCAGCAGGCGGGCAATCACCTGGAAGAGAGCTCGAATCGAGCTTGCTGGCGTACCTTCCAACAGGAGGAGTCAGAGGAGGAGGGAGGGGGAGGGAGGGAGGGGAGGGGAGGGGATGGGGAGCAGGCCGTAAGAGGAGGGAGGATCACTTCGTCACGAAAGCAACAGCTTGCTGCACTGCCGGTCCTTCGATGACGGGGTGACGACAGGCCCAACGACCTGGTAGATGACATGAGCTCAGGTCTAGGAAGAAGATGAGAGGAGGAGATATGTAGCGAGAGGAGGAGAGGAGAAGAGAGAACGGGCGAGGGACGGAAGACGGAAGGGAGCAATGAAAGAAGGGGGGGGTAGCGAGAGGGGTGGGCAGCGGATGGAGAATAAGGTGGGCCATTGGACTCGAGCACTGAATTCGGGCAGGATGAGATAAGGATCATGGTAAAGCAGGAGAAAGGCGAGTAGGGAGAGGAGGGGACTTCGGGATAGGAGTTGAGCCAAGGGAGCTGGGGATGGGAGAGGGAAAGAGAGCTGGAGATGAGAGAGGGAAGGGAAGGGAGCATGGGACGGAAGTTGTGACCGGGAGCTTCTTGATGAGGTTGAGGAGCGACGGGATGAAGTTTCCAAAGAGGTTCAGGATCCCGAACAGTTCAATCTGGCAACGTCAAGCATGGTCAGCGACACGAGCAACACCAGCTTGCGCTGCTACCATCACGCCCAGTCGCGCCCGTCCTCTCAGAACAAAGTAGACGCCGAGGAGGAAGATGCTGCAGCAGTACATTATCCAGTGCTGACCATGGCGCCTAACAAGCTCCGTCACCTCGTCCCTCGCGCCCTCTCCCAGCGAAACATGAAGTTGGATGCTCGCTTCTTGCCCGCAATGAGAACCTGGCAAGCTCGCATGAGGAGATCACCTCCTCCACTCCTCGCCAGCATCTCACCACACCCAAGATGGTCGTGAGATTCCCTGTGCCGATCAGGGATCTGTTGAAGAAGAGCATGAATCCGAGGGTCGAAAGGAGGATCCCCACCGCCACCAGCACGAAACCTGAGCGTCAAGCAAGTCAAAGGTCAGACCATGGGAGCAGGTCGACTATGGCAGCAGCATGCATCATGCAGGATTAGATCTCATCACCGTAAATCCTTGTTTTGGTCATGAACTTCTCGCCTATCAACGACTTGGCCACCTCTGGATTCGAGGCGAGGAAGGAAGCAGATGCCGCGATCCCTTCCCCCCCTCGCAATCTTTCCACGTCATCATAGGCAGCAAGAACACCTCGACCCAGCTCTGCCGATCTCGCATGAATCGCCCGACCCTGTGAGGCAAGCGCTGGGCTCGTGCTTGGATGAGGCTTGCCGAAGGGATATTGGACAGGATGGGCAGAAGAAGGGAGGCAGGCACTGAGATGAGGAGAGAGGAGGGAGAGGAGGAGGGCGAGGATCATGGTTACGGAGTTTGTCGGCCATGGCGGCATTCGCGACTTCCCATCTGGCGCGGCATTGAGCCCCGTGCTCTTTTCCCCCACAGCCATCTCCATGGCGAGGGAACGACAGGGTGGGTCCCACCCCATCAATGCCAAGAAGTGGGTAGGGTGTTTGAATGTTCTCTAGGACCGGTTCTTTTTACTTTAAAAATACCGGTGTGAATTAAAGCATGCGGAATGTGGACGATTTCACAAAAGGGGGTAGGGTGAACGTTGGGGGGTGAATCACGGTCATGCTTGGTATGCACAAGGCCAGGAGGAGAGGAGAGGAGGGGAGGAGAAGTTGATTCATCCAATTTACTTACTCAGTTACATCTTATGCATACTAAGAATAATCTATGTATAGTGATTGTTCTTCTCTCAAGAACCAGTTTTTCTATGTTTCTATCCCAATCATTCTGATTTCACAGCGTCGATTGTTTCCTGCTGCACTGAAGGCCGTGTTGATGGACCGAGTGCATCAACGTTCATAGTTCGCTCCCGATCTACTCCTTCCTCACAGGCCTGGGCCTCAAGCTGGATCTCCGGGACGAAAGGGAGCTCGTCTGAACCCACAAGCTTAGCATCCCCTTTGATCTTCAAATCCGTATCCTCAGATTCGTTCCACTCGCTCCAAATCGCTGACGTGGGAGAAGCGTCCAGCCCGTTCTCTGCGTCCAGAAAAGAATCGATAACTTGCCCTGGGCAAGTAGATGAAGGGTTTCCAACCCATTCTATTTTACATGAGGTGTCCGGATGTTCCTCGTCTGCCCGCTTGCGCTTGCCACAAGTTTTCTCGTGCACCTGGGCACCATTGTGATCATCTTGCCTTGACTCTGCATTTGTCAAGTAGAGCGGTCTTTCTAACAAGACGTCCTTCGCCGATAAGCAGCGCTCGATTGTGCTGAGCATGAGAACCTCCAAACGAATCGCAGATCGGGGAGATAGCGGAGGGGTTTCTGTCTTGTGATGCAGGTCTTGAGATGCCACTCCTTCTGGACTTGATGGGTTCATGAAGCATTTGCCTTCTGGAAGAATCCCCGTTAACAGCTGCGCTTGGACGGGCGAATCCCTACCGCTGTCTGCAACTTCCTCAGAGCGCTTTCCATGTGTTTCCATGATTTTCAACGCCACAACTGGGCCAGAGAATGGAGGGACACTCTCAATCTGTGAATGACGGACGTCGTTTTCGGGGAAATTTTCTGCGTCCAAATCGGAAATCAGATCTTTCAATTCTGATACAATCTGCGGTTCCCTGCCTGTAGAACAGCAGTGATCAGAAAATCGAGAAAATAGGTAGCTATCATTCAGAACATAGCCACATAAAGACATGTTCAAGACTATTCCTGTTGGTATACAATAAAGACAACAGGAAAAAATTAATTCTTTGTGCAGAAACGCTCATGGTAAAATATGACAAAATCTCGTTCAAGTTCATCGTCATCCATCGATGCTCCCAACAGGTTCACATACACAACCCTATACATATTATCCAATAATGACAATGATTTACTCTCTTTTCATACAGTGTAACAGATCAGTCCATGAAGGTTTAGACCGGGCAACCGAACCGACCAACAAGCATAACACGAGTTAAAAAAAACATTCTCCCCATACATCGTTTCAATATCACCAAAACAATCGTGAATCAAGGTAATCTATGTGTTATGTATTCAGCAAATATGCAAGGATGTCAACTCGCTCATCTTGCATGAATCTGTCCTCTCCACCGCGCTTGCCACTTGTCTCACCATTGAACGAGTCCACACCCAAGCTCTGTGTGGATATCTTATTTCGGCGGGGTGTCTGGGAGCCGTCGATTTTCACAGTAGCGGGACCCCATCCTCAATATGTAAGTAAATGCTCTGTACAATAAGAAATATTCCAATAGTATTGTTACTTAATATTATATGACTAATTCAGATTATTTTGTGAATGCATGCTGGAAGGACCCTCGGCGGAAGAGTAGTGCTGCCCCCGCGGCGGCGAGCAGTGACAATGGGTTGGACCACCCTTGGGGCCCCTGGAAGCAGGGGTGAGGGTAGCAACTTGGCATTCGTATACAGGGTTGGGTAGTGAAGTTGGTATGAAAGGTACGGTCATTATCTGGGGAATCATGGGGTAGGTCTAATTGAGGGTTGTGCTAAAATCAGGGTGGGGTGACACATCACAGGGGTACCATATTGATAGGGTGAGGTCATAAATCCACCGGGGGTGGACGGGGGAGGTGGGGTAGGCACTGAGGGGTTGAGGATGCGAGGTTCCAGTACACTGTTGACGTACTGAAAAGTTTTGTTGGTACTAATTTCTATTTCAGTGGTACAGTCGTATTTTAATGAAAATTGGATCTTTGATAAAATATTGGAAATTTTCTCATGACATTTGCTCAGTTAAGACCAGACCTTCAATGACTTATTTGAATATTTCTATATGTAAAGTAAACAACCTTGTATGGACTCGTTTTCGTCAGCATTCGCAATTCTGGTACAGCTGGGTATCCAAGGGACCTCATTTAAAACTCAGTACCGTATAAAAGGAAGTTCAGTCCTGGCTGTGCATCTACCACCCCTGGACCACTTCTGCCCCCTTCGAGTATCGCGGACGAGGTATGAGGGTAGTGAATCATAATAGAGTTTAACTATAGAGGGGGTAGGGTGTCCGCTGGTGCAAAGGGGGGAGTGCAGGGGTGGGTTGGTCCAGGAGTGGATGGGTGTTGATAGTCAGAAATTCGAAGGGGTGGGTAGTCCCATTTGTGAAATGCTGACACCAAATTCTTGGTGACTTATCGGGGGTAGTTTTCCTCGGGAAGGTGGTAGCACAGGGGGGTTGTGCACAGCGAGGGTGAGGACGGTCAATCCGAGGGTAGGGTACAAAAACTTTTCAAGGTGGGTGTAGACAACGGGTAGGGTAGGGTACGTCGATGGGGAACCTGCATGCCGAGATTACTTTACTACAAGGTTCCCCGTACTCTCTGTGTACCTGGGGTAGTATAGACATCCAGGTCTAAACCAGGGGTACTAACGGACAGAGGGGTACGGTGGACCAAGCAGGGTAGTCTCTTGAAGGAGTAAACAGACGTAACCTGCATTGGTGGGTGGTTTCAAAGAGGAAGGACCAGGTGTATGTCACGTCACCCACCCCAACCCCGAACACTTGACCATGCGACACCCTACCTCGGGTAAACTCGAAGCCACCCGCTCATTATACTGTCAAAAAGGGGGTACGTGGTTCTGATTGAAAAAGGGCCAAAAATGAGACCGAAATAGACAGAGACTAGACTCAAGTCTATTTCGCCGGGGCTGCCGGGGCCCGGCAAAAGAGTCCCCGGTCGGAGCAATCGGGACAGTCATTGTCCTCGTACTGATTTTTAAGTTAACTTTGAGTAAAAGACATGGTGGGCACAGGACCTGGCTACACAACTAGCAGCAGGAATGCGGCGGGCTGGGATAGCGGGGATCGGGCATGGCGTTGGCGCGGGGAGGCTGCAGGCATCTCAGGCAGCCCAGGTGAAGGCGCATGATGCCTGTGATGTTCGTCGATGCTGAAGTTTGAACTCGGCATGTTGTTGTCGACCGGGAATGCCCTTGTCCTGTGTTGTTGTGGGGCGTCTGGGAATCTACCGAGCTGCTCCTGGCGCGATGACATCTGTTCACTGATTGCCTCGGGCAGGAGAGGGCGCAGAGCATCGGGAACAACCTGCTCTCGCAACAGAAGGAGCAGGTGCTGCAACTTGAGGGACCTCCTCTCCCACCCTCACGCGCACTCATGATAGATGATGGAGAAATGCAGTGTCTTCCAGTCCAAGCTCGAGGAGTTTGCGAGGAAGCATAAGAACGAGATCATTCGCAATCCTGACTTCAGGAGCAAGTTCAACTCCATGTGTGCGGCGATCGGAGTTGACCCTCTAGCATGTGATGCATGCCTTTCGCCAGCTGAGATCTTGACCGTTCCTTTGACGTTTCCTCCTAGCCAACAAAGGATTCTGGGGAGCTTTGGGTATGGGTGACTTCTATTACGAGCTCGGCATACAGATGATACAGGTTAGAGTTATGAAGAATTGTTTGAAGACGCTGAGAGCTCATCAGGTCTGTCTGGAGAGGCGAAGTCAGAGCGGGGGGCTGGATAGCGTCGAGGAGGTTTTATCCGCCCTCCGGGCACGGCGAGGGCCGAGAGCGCAGCAGATCAATGCGTAAGGGGTTGGAGATCGAGAAGGCGGGGTGACATGTGGGAGCAGGGAGGACTTGGAGAGATCGGTGAAGTGCTTGAAGGGGTTGGGGAAGAGTTTGGAGATCATAAGGTGAGGGGATGAGTGAGGTTGGAAAGGTGTAGATGACGAGCATGTCACAGTATCAAGGGGAAGGGGAAGGTGATCCAGTCCGTTCCGGTATGATGCAGTTGATGCTGTGGTTGTTGGTGATGGATGGAAAATGATGATTGGAAGCAACATGTTGCGATAATGATGATGATGATGATGGTGATGGTGGTGGTGGTGGTGGTGGTGGTGGTGGTGGGGGTGATGATGGTGATGATGATGATGATGATGATGATGATTCCGTTGCCTTGACTGTGGCATTCAGTGTGAGCTCTCCCAAGACCACACCGCGATCCTCGAGCTGGTGAGGATCATCAGCGGCAGCTTTCCCTTGCGTCAGCTTATCCTAACTGAGGCAACGCAGGCTTCACATTCAGGTCACACGTCCGTCGGCGACCTGATTAGCCTGCTCGAATGGCCGGAGAACCGGGCGGTATCAGCGGTATAGCATGCTGTGTTGATTCAGGAGATGGGGAGGAGGAGGAAGAGGAGGAGGAGGAGGAGGAGGAGGATAGTGAGGGGAGAGTAGTGCTCATGAGGAGGGAGCAGAGTGTAGTTCGCAGAGAAGGCAAGCTTGCTTTTGCTAAGCAATGTTTCAGGTGAATTTCCTACTTGATGAAGGAATGGCATGGATTGACAAGCAAAACGATGGAAAATGGCCGCTCATCTGGTGAGAAGAAGAGCGATGGAGGGAAGGGGAGTGGAGAAATATGAGGATGACGGGGAGGAGGAGGGGGGTGGGGAGGAGGAGGAGAAGGAAAAAAGTTGGGGGAGGAGGAGGAGAAGGAGAAAAGGAGGAGGAAGAGGAGGATGGAGGATGGAGGAGGAAGAGGAGGATGGAGGATGGAGGAGGACATGGTGGAGGAGGAGGAGCGCGGTGATTTGTGTGATTTCTCAGGTTTCCGAGCTTATTTCAAGGCCTTCATTTCTCCTCCTCCTGATTCCCAAGGACGATTCTTTCTCATAGACGTGTACTTTACAGAACATCCTTCCCTCCTTCTCTCCCCTCCCCCTCCTCTCCCGTTCTCGAGCCTCTCCTGCCCCTTCACTCTCCTCCGGCCAGGTTGCAGGATTCATCCAGTAGATATTCGAACCCCTCGATGCAGTGAGGACGGTCGCTCCCGCCCCTCCTGTTGCTCTCCACAACGATCTCAATCGTCTCCTCCACCAGAGGGACTAGAAGCTTCCGAATCTCCTGCAGATTTGTCAGCATCTCTACACGCTCCTCTGTATCCTCCTGCTCCTGCTCCTGCTCCTGCTCCTGCTCCTCTCTGCTCCTACCTTCTTCTCTTCTGCTACACCCCTGCTCACTGCACCCTTCCCACTGAACGTTTCTCAGCTCCATCCTACGATCCCTTCTCACCCTCTCCTGCCTCACCTTCACACTGCCATCCAAGTCCGGGTCACTTCTCATGCTGATGAGCTTCGCATCCAGTTGGCGGTCGAGCATGAGAGTAGCGCTGAGGAGAGCGAACGCTCCTTCCTTGCTCTTCATCCTCCCGCTGGCCTGCTGCTCCGGCCGTCACCAACCCATCTCCTCCTCCTCTTCCAGTCCTCCACCACAACCGTGTCCTCCGCCTCCTCCTCATCGTTTCCATTTCTACCTGCAAAACCTCTCGCAAGATCCCTTTGATCTGAGGTTTGATACGCAGCTCGACAACATCCTGAAATCAAGCTTATGAGGAGGAAATGGAGGGAGGAAGACGATGAGGAAGAGGAAGAGGAAGAGGAAGAGGAAGAGGAGGGGGAGGATGCAACTAGCGTACCTCGTCGCTTCCGCCTCCCTGTGCCTCCAGTCGAGCTTGCAGCTGAAGGAAGAAAGTGAGTTCAAGTTTCCTCCTCCTCCTCCTTCTCTCTGCTCCCCCACCCTGCTCCTATTCCTGCTCCTCCTCACCTGCTGGAAGCTCAGCAGCTTCTCCTCCTTCTCCTCCTCCCACAGCGGGTGTCTCCTCTGCACAGACGTGCTTGTGTCATGCGCAAACCTGCAGGGGTACGTGAGGGACTCTGGGACTCTCTCGCTCGCCCCTACCGGTTCGTCGTGTCCTGCTCCTCGTACTTCTCCATAGCCACCCTCGCATACCCTAGCAAGTATCATCATCTCCATCATAATCGTCTCCATCATCATCATCTCCATCATCATCATCATCGTCTCCATCACTATCTCCATCATCATCATCATCGTCTCCATCATCATCATCATCACTTTCTCCTCCTCCTCTCTGTGCGGCCCCGCACCATCATGGTAGAAGGCCAGAAAGGGATCAGTGCGGGCGATGAGGACGAATACTTGAAGATCGAGCTTGAAGCCGTCGAGGAGGAGGGGAGAGGAGAGGTACTGCTGAACAAGAAGGGATCCCTTCCTCCCGCTCGAACTGTCGCCGCCTGAAGTTCGAGCAATGCAATCACTCGGAGGCAAATCGAGGCTGGATGAAAGTTGAAGGGAGGGAAGGGAGGGAGAGGATAATAAACAAGTGGGAGGGAGGAGAAAAGGAAGCGATAGAGGATAGAGGATAGAGGAGAGGGGAGGAGAAGGGAGAAAAGAATAGGAGAGAAGAGGGGAAGGGAGTGGAGCGGATAGGAGAGAGGACACACCTGCCCCGGAGAAGATGAAGTCAGGATCGATACGCAGCTGAGCAACGTCCTTGACGATCATCTGCTTCTCTTCCTCTTCCTCCTCTCGTCTCCTCCTCGATCTCAGCCGTTTGATGACGTAAGGGCCCGCGAACCTCTCCGCGGGCAGCTCTAGGAAGCGATCCAAGTCGGCGGCAGGAGGCATGAGGCAGCGCAGAGGCTGGCGGAGGAAGGGGCTGAAGGAGGAGCCGGCAGCAAGGAAGGAGGAGGCGATCGACATGAGGCCCTTTCTGCTCGTTATCGTGCTGATTCCCTCCACCTGGTTGATCAGGTTCCTGCCGGAGACTGCGAGAGCGTCCTCCCTGTCTCGGGGATGAGAAACCCAGAGAAAGGAGGAGGAGGAGGAGGAGGAGGAGGGGGGAGAGAGGAGCTGTTTCCTTTCTACCCAACCTCGTCTTCTGAGACATTCATACACCAAGTGATTTCTCCTGCCTGATGAGACGAAGAAGCTGCTGCAAGCGCAGGTATCTCCTCCTCCTCCTGCTCCTCCTTTCCTACAGACTTCATGTTCCGCCATGCTCTCTCCTCCTCTCTTCCCCGCCGCAAACTCCAGCCCATCCGCGACGCCATGAGCATGGGAGGATGCAACTGCATCCTCGTCGCCTCCCTTCCTTCTCCCTTCCTCACGCGATTCCTGTAGCTTGAGGAGACGGTCGCGCAGGACCAGCTTGACCTGCTCTAGCTCCCGTTGCCTGGCATCCTCCTCCTGGTTGAAGTTGAGGCGCTTCTGTGCGGTGCTGGCCCGAGAAGCAGCAGAATCTGGATGGTGGGGAGCAGAGAGAGAGCTGAAGGCGAAAGTGAGATGAAGAGGAGGAGGAGGAGGAGGAGGAGGAGGAGGAGGAGGAGGCTGGAGGAGGCTGGAGGAGGACTGGAGGAGACTGGGGCACACAAACCTTGGATTGTCTGGAGTTCGATGTGCTGTTGCGTCGATATTTGACTTGTGACTTGACATGTCCTCGACAACCTTCTGAAATGTTTTTCTCAGTGGAAGAGCAGGGAGGAGGGAGAGGGGGGGCGGAGGGGGAGGGAGAAGGGAGGTGGAGAGAGCAGGGAGGAGGAGAGGGCAAGGAGGAGAGCAGGAGAGGATGGAAGAGGAACGGGACGGAGGGTTCTAGTCCTGACCGGCAACGCTGCAACAATCTCAGAGCTGCGAGCTAGACTGGGCTGAGGCTCAGGTACTTTCTTCAGCACTTGTGGCTCCTCCTCCTCCTCCTCCTCCTCCTCCTCCTCCTCCTCCTTGGCAGCAGCAGCAGCAGCAGCAGCACAGGACCCCTTCTCCCTCCTCTCTTCCTGCTTCAGCTTCTGACAGGTTGTCCGCCAGCACGATACCGCTTGCCTCATCCTCTTCTCCTCCCACTCCCTCGCAGCTCTCCTCCTCCTCCTCCTCCCATCTCCAAGGACCCGCCACCTTCTCCACAGCGGCTGAACCTGCTTCCTCCCGTGCTCCGCTCGCATCCTGTGCCAATGCACTACCTGCTGCGGGTCACGAAAGCAGAGCAGCACACTATCCTCGCTGAACCAGGCCACCCGCCTCCTCCATCCCTCCAGCACGCGGCTCTTCTCCGCTTCCTCCCGCTGGTTCTTCAGAGACGCCGCAAAGTCCCTCGCCCTCCCTGCTCGCGCCCTCCTCCTCCATCGGGCAAGGAGGACGAGGAGGACCTTGCCCTGCTGCTTGCTGCTGACCCTCCTCCTCTTCTCCTCCAGCTTCTCGTTGATCGACCGTAGCTCGACGATGGCATTGGCGATGTACTTCCAACCTGACACGCAGCGGCCCATCACTTCCTTGTGATGTCTCAGCTGCATCTCCCTCTCTCTCTGCCTGACGTCCCACAGGTGCAACTTGAGCACAGCAAGCAGCCACGTCCTCCTCCTCCTCCTGCTCCTGCTCTCGGCGAGCTCCCACTGATCGCGGTAGAGGACCTCGGCATCGCAGAGGACCAAGGACCAGCCCTGGAACATCTCGAACTGTGTCTTCCTCCTCCTCCACACCAGCATCTCCCCCACTATCCTCTGCAGACGGACTGACTTCCATCCCTCAACGACTCTGCGCTTGCACCTCGTTGTGACTCTGAGCAGAATTTTCTCTCCTCTCACCCTCAACTCTGCGAACTCCTGACCCTCCCGCTCACAACCAGCTGCAAACTTCGCCATCGCATCCCCGACTAGCCACAGGGCATGCGCGCTCTTCATCACGGCCTCAAACTTCTCCGCAAAGCGCATGCAGGACGCTCGATGGGTGCGAACTGCTGCTGATACGCTCTTCCAGAAGGCAAAGTACCTCCTCCTGCAAGCCTTGTGGCTGAAGCTCTTAGCGATGTTCCTCCTCCTCTCCTCCAACTCCAGGCAAGTGCTCAACCATCCCTCCATCACCTTCAGCATCACCCGATGGTTGATGTACAGGTCCTTGTTATGGTACTCGAACAAGCAGGTCAAGTCCTCTTCTCGATCCTCTTCCTCCCTGCAGAAATCCTTCCACCGATTCAAAGTTTGCTTCCCCAGTGAGTGCAGACGAATCTCGTCCCACGCTCTGCAGTGGCGGTCGAAATATCTTCGATTTCCCCACAGCGTCCTCGTCAGCGAGCGCCAGGCCTTCAGCTTCGTCCTGACAAACGTCTGCTGCACCAACAGTTTCATCTCGTCAGCAAACGTCTTCAAGGCAGTGAAACCATGCTTGCACAGGATGTTGTGCTGTATGCACGCGACACGGGGCCCCCCAACCATCAGCCTGGTGAACGCAACCAGCACAAACTGCTTCCTATGCACATCCTTCTGCTTGCCCAGCTTTGCAAGTACAGGACGAAGTTTCTCCCTCCATTGCGACGCTCTCCCCCAGCCCGCAAGCACTGCTGTCATCCCCTTCCTTTCGATGTACTGGCTCAAGTCTTTCGCCTCCTCCTTCACTCTCCTCCATCTCACGCATCCTCTCCACTGCCCCCATGCTCCTTCCGTCACCTGCACCTCAACCATCCTTGCTAGCCGCTGACTCGCAAGCTGCCTGTCCGCCTCCAGCTCCAACTTGCGGATTTCTCCCCAGTAGCAGAAAGCGCTCTGCAGAACAACCATCCTGCGGAACCTGACTGCCATCTCCTTCCTTTCTTCAGCCTCCGCCCTCAGCTGCCAGCCCATGGCGTCCAAGCACGAGGACAGCAAGTTCAACCGGTGTTGGTGGGCGATGACACTCGATGCCCGATAAAGGTGGTCACGATAAAACTTGACTTCAACCCATGACCTGAAGGCGCTTTCTGCGTATCTTTCCGATCTTGTCTCTTCCAGATACTCCACAACATTCTTGGTCAAACTCTCAAACACTTCCGATGCCCGCAGGGTCCGATCGTCCTCCATTTCGAACATTCACAGCCCGGTTCAGTCACAACGAGGAGGTGGAGATTTTGCGCAGCAAGCACATTCAGCCACAGAGTCCTCAATGATCCTGGTCGTCGAAATTAAACATCAGAATATGACAGACAGAAGGAAAATCAGCAATGACATTGGAACGCCTAGTTAACCTTTCGTAATCAAGGTTTTTATCTCTTCATCTTAGAACTTCACACTGACATTTATGATGGAGTTTACCAGGCTAGCACTGACAACATCCATTTTTGAAAGATTGAAAGCAGACACGAGATTTATTTGCTTCCTATCCTTCTAACTCTTGTCCCCGTGCTAATCCTTTGTACTTATCTACGTCCTTCGTCCTTCGCATCCGCCTTCTCCTCGTATTCCTCAACAGTCACTGCAGTCTCTTCAATGAGTCCTTGATATCTCCCTTTTCATATCTTCTCTCGTCTTCTATTCTCATTTCCTCTCTTCCTCTCCTTTCCTCTCTTCTCCCCTCCTCTCTCCCCTCGCTATCCTTCGCCATTTCCCCTACCACGCTCTTTCAAACTTGTACCACCCCCACCCCTTCATGAATCACTACCCTTCGATATCAAGTTGACAATACCCCACCCCTGGAATAATCGGGTCTATATGGGGGTAAAATCCCCACCCCTGCTGTAGGGCCTAAATAGACCACCCCACCCTTTTCTTTTGGCCATTCACGAATATCACCTACCCGGTCCGCCTTGCGTTTATTACCCCATGTATTCTCACCTCTTGGGATGACTACCCCTCCTTCCCCAGTACCCCACGTAACTTTGAAACACTGGGTCTGAAGGGGTATTTTGACGATGGTAAACAGGGGTACAGCGATAGTTAATCGCCCATGTGGGGGTGGGGTCATTGTCAAAGAGGACATCGGGGTGGTCACAAGAGGGGGTGTGACGGTTTTTGTGCGGCAGCATGGCGCATGCGGTCAGGGATCAGGGAGGAAGAGAAGCGACAGGAAGGTAGCAGGAGGCGCAGGAGGAGGCGGGAAAACAGAAGCACAAGGAAGGCAGCAGGAGACACAGGAAGGGAGGAAGATGATGGAATGAATTGTCCAACACAAAGACAGGATTAATGCGCCCTTGGGTAAGTAGACAGGTGGAATGAATTCATGAAGAAAGCTAAGGATTCGCTGAGCATTCAGGGTGGAATAAGGTGTCCATACAGTCTCCAATATATTCTGGATGGTTCGTGCATGAAATCCAGCGTTGTGCTTGTTACGGGGGGCTTTGAATATTGAGATCCGAAATACCACATCAAGGCAGGACCAAAAGGAAGAATGGCGGCGGTTTCCCCCGAAGTGAGATGAGGTATTCATGATAGCATGACATCAACAAACAAAGACAGACCAAGAGCAGACAAGGACCTGGGCCTGGTCGAAACCAGGCACTCTCAACGGATCAGGAACCAGTCCCAGCAAGCGGCGGATAGGCGGTGAGCAGTGTTGCCTGCTGTGGCTGGTGTGGTACTCACGACTTTACGGCAGGTTTCATCAGAGCCTTCCGAAGGCAGGGCTCTATCCCTCGCACTTCTCTCCTTACCTGATGAGACCCGACGGGATGTCAAGCTCCATTATCGGCCTGTCCAAGGAGGAGGTGGAAGAGGACCTTGTCACGCTCAAGCTCATGTTCCAGACCTACTTTGTGTCGGAGTACTATGACGAAGCTGGCGTGAGTGACCAGCAGGTGTCTCTCTCAGCAGCTAGCAGATCAGTGGACGTCCCCCACTCCTCTCCCTGTCCCCGACCTCACGTTCCAGCAACAAGCTTTCAAGCCTCGATGCCTCCTGGCGGCTGCGCTCGGCACATTCCGTCAAGGCAGCCACAGGTCAACGTGCCGGCATCGAAGGAGGACCCGGCGAAAGGGACTCACACGATAAAGCGAGCAAGGTTCGCGTGTGTTGCACCTCGCAACAGGAAGGAGGAGAAGGCGCATTTCGAGGCGGCGATTCGTGCTTCGATGGTGAACTCGTTGAGATCGACCGACCCGTGACACTCGGGGAGATTGACAAGAGACTGTGTTCACGATGTACTGCAGAGAAGATGCGGAACACAGAAGGAAACGAAGCTTTATTGAACAGCACGCTTCTTTCTTGCTTTATTTCAAGTCTCAATTTCCTTCTGTCGATGCAAAGATGTTATCTTTTTTTACAGCGTCGAAGAATAAATAATCCAATCATGTTTCAGATTGTCAAAGAAGTGCTACATCTAAAGCATCTCACACGAGAGTTAAGTTGTTCTTGGTGCATGTCCTCATGCACTTGAAGAAAGAGCCTACGTCGACCTGCCTCTTCCTGTTCGCTCCGTAGTGTCGCTTGAGCTTCATTACAGTTAAGAACTCCTGGACGTGAAAACAAAATGAGCACAGAAGATGAGGAGGGAGAGAAGGAACAGCGACGGTGAGAGGAAGGAATTAGAGGCAGGAGAAGGCTGAAGAAGAGCGAGGAGAGAGGGGAGGAGAGCGAGGATGCTTGAAGCAAGCAAGAAGGAAGGGAGGGAGATTGGGAAGGAGGTCGAGGATGAGCAGGGAGTGAAGGTGAGAACCTCTTGGTTCAAAGTTCCCTTGCCCTTGTCACTGAAGACGTGCATCAGAACATCTGCTACCTCCGACGAAAGTTCAACATTCGAGACGGCAACCGACGCATGGATTAGATGTTCCCTCCCAAAGTTCCCTGAGTTCGCCTCGGAGAAGGTGTCGATCGCGCTCGAGATCTCCTCGACGCTCTTGAGCATCTTGTTGAACGCCATGTAGTCCTTGAACCCGATCCTGCTCTCAGCCAGCGCCTCGATCTTGCCCTTGTACACGCGGAACTGCTTCGGGTAAACGTGCGACACCAGGCTCAAGGCGAAGTCCTTAGAGGAGATGGTGTCGTCAGCATCAGGATTAAGGCCGTCAAACTCCAGGGTTGCTATGTCTTCCTGAAGATCCAGTAGGTATCGAGCAAACTTGGGGTAAGTCAGTTTCCTGTTCCCATGCTTCCCGAACAGGATCTAGAGGGTTTGCACAAGTCAGGGGAGGGAGGAGGAAGATACAGCACGACTCACAGGGTAACGGTCTCTGTTCAGCTCAGCAGCTTTTTTCTTTTGCTGCTTGACCTTGTTGCTCGTTGACACCACGTCCACCCTGCTCGCCAGCCCGATGGGGCTTTTGCTCTTGAGCACCCGCATCATGGCGGCGAACTCCTGCTCGTCGATCTCCCCGCTCCTGTCCAGGTCGAACATGCAGAACATGGTTCTGAACCTGTTCTCCGGGATGGAGATGAGAGTCATGAAGAACACGTACTCGTGGAACGAAACCAGCCCGTCAGAGTCGATGTCCACCATCTGGAACAGCCGCCGTGCCGCCTTGGCTGCTCGGGCTGACGGCTTCTTACCCTTGGCGTTTTCGTGCATGAGGTTCGGGTGCAAGGACCGCAGAAAGTCGCTCGGCGTCATCAAGGCCTCTCCTTCGTGCTTTACAGAGGCGAAGAGTTGGAACACTTTCTCAGGGGCACTGAAAGCTTTGATCCGCTCCTCGTACCCTTGCTGGATGTCAGTCTTAGACGGGAGAATGCTCGCCTGCCTGCTAGTCACTTCCAACTGAACCCAACGCCCCTGCCGCTCTCGTCTCACCTCCGTCAACGTCGGTCTCTGCATCTTGTTCCAGAAATATCCAATGCCCACCATGGAGGCAAATCCTGCGGACAGGAACCAGGTGGTCTGTCCCCTATGGTTGCCCGCTGTGCAGAAGTTCCTCCATGCTGAGGTCCGGAGGATGCGCGTTGTGCTGGACGTGTGCTGAAAGCTTCGCGTTTGACTGCACAAAAAGCGGAAGCGAGCTATCTTCTGGTAGAGATCGGCGGTGTAGGAGGGGTGAAGTAGCGACCCCACGCCTCTCAGCATCGTAACCTAGCCTCTCCCCCAACCCACCCTCCACTCTCCTCCTTCCCCTCCTCCTTCCCCTCTGTTCCCTTCTTCTCCTTCTCCTTCCCTTCCTTGACCTGCCTCTCCGTTCTCTCCTTCACTGCATCCAAACACCTTCACGGCTTTCACAGTTTCGAACTTCGTTTGTTGCTCGAATCAAATCGATTTTAACCTAGCGAAAGATTGTGATTTAATTCGGATAAAACAGATCAGCATGGACGGATGCGCCCCGACAACTCTGAAGGTGACGGCAGCGAGGGCATGGGGGAAGGAGGAGGGCGAGAGGAGGGGGGAGAGGGGGTGAGATGAAGGGCAAGACGTGCAGTGAGGATTGTTCTGACTATATCGAACTTGTGCAGTGAGGACGTAGGACGGGGTAGCCGACTCGCTCCTCTCGTTTGACGGCAGTGACGGCGATGCATCGATGGGATTGGCTCGGATCCTTCCTGCTTCTCGTACTCCTGCAACCCTCTCATGTCCTGGATGTTAAGAACGGCGTTTGGGAGCAGAGAGGCCTGCACCTGGCAGGAAGAAGAAAGCCTCCGTCGAGTTTAGTTGCTCTTAGAGGAGGAGAGGATAGATACACCTCGCCCACAGGCATTACATTTCCGCAGATCTTCAAGCAAGATCTTGAGCACCTAAAACAGGTGATGAGACAGGAGAAGACGGAGATCGGGTTTCGTGAGAACTGGATTTTGAATTTCAAGTCCAAGAAAAACATCTCCAAAGAGGGGCTGAACCTGGACACGAGAAGGCTGTTCAGGAGGCAACTGAAGAACGACTCGTTGGTGACTGAGCTATCGGAGTTGCTTTCGACCATTCAGGGGCAAGGGCTGAACGAGAGCGACGCGTCCGATGTTTGCAGAGTCTTCAACTTCCCTGTACCCAAGTCAAGGAAGAGTTATGACTGGGATCATACTATCGACTGCAGGATGCGTCTGATCATCGACTTCTTGAGGTGATGGCAGACCGATGCCGTTCCTGGAATCGCTGATGATGTTGTGTGTGCCAGGCAGAGGAGGATCAAGAAGAAGGACGGCACGCTAGTGAGGCTTGATAGCATCTTTGAGGACCTATTCCTTCGGGTGAAACTCCCCACCACCACCACCACTGCCTCCTCCCCCCTCTCCCTCTCTCCCTCCTTCCCGCCCTCTGTTCCTACCTACTCCCCTCTCTCCCTCTCTCCCTCATTCCCGCCCTCCGTTCCTCCCTGCTCCCCTCACTCCCTCTCGTTCCAGCAACCCCCTAATGCCCTACTGGCAGATGGAGGAGACACTTGCCCTCCGCGACGGCTATCTCACTGTCTATGGGCCCTCTTCGACCGACGGCGGGAACGGTTCCAAGTCCGTGAACTTTCCATTGAAGGCCAATGTCATAATGGAGGAGGTGCAAGGGCTGGGAAAGGCCCTGGTCATCCAGGACAAGAAGCCAGCAAAGTTTAAGCTGTCGTCCAGCTTGATTCCCATCGAGAATTCGCCGATGGCTCCAATTCGCAAAGTCGACTTGCTGCTATGGAATGCCATCGATCAGGTATGTGCGGTCCGTTGAGGAGTGGAGAGTGTGGCGCGGTCACCCTAGACCAGGGATCGTCGGAGCTCGTGGAGAGGAGCTTGAATCAGGGGGCTAACGTCTCCTCTATCGATTGGTGACGAATCTCAGTATTTACGTCAGAGATCTCCTCATGCCCTGCAGGCGCCTCGGCTACGTCCTGCCCATCCATCGGGCGGTCTTGCAAGGAGATCCAGACGTTTTGAAGCTGCTGGTGGAGGAGGGGGCAAACGTCCATGCGCGCACGAGCGACCGCGTGACGCCGCTGCATCTTGCGGCCGAAGTGGGGAACGTGGAAGCAGCCAAGGTGAACGATACCCGCTCCCCCTAGTCCTTCTGACATGATGACGTCACCTCGCAGCTCCTTGTCAAGTTGGGAGCAGAAGTCAACGCCGTGGACCCCTCCTTTGTGAGCGAAGCTCGTAGATTATGCCGAGCCCAGTGACGAACGGTTTGGCAGGAGACTCCTCTGCACAAGGCAGCGGCAGAGGGTCACGTGGAAATGGCTCGAGAGGTTGGGTGCTCTCGCTATGACTGGGAGGAGGTCGTGACGTTGTGCGCAGCTTGTCCTTCTGGGAGCAGATCTCTTCTTACGCAACAGGCAGAGGAGGACGGGGATGGGGAGGGGGTCGGGGGGGAGGAGGGAGAGGAGGAGGAGATATAGTTTAATCTGACTATAACGCTTTCATGTCAGCTGGTTTGCAACGCCATCGGAGGTCGCAGAGTCCATGAGGAGATCGTACAAGGTCCCCCAAGATCTCAACAAGACTGAGCTCGCGGAGAGGCGGAGAAACCACGAGGTCGGAAGGGCCTCTTCCTCCCCTGACTTTGCGACTGAAGACGGTTGACAGATCATCTCGAATCTCCTCCGCCCCCATCCCTTGCTGGGGGATGAAGAGGACGAGGCAAAAATCTTCGGGAGGGGTTTCCTGACCAACCCCAACGGAACTGTCTTGTACGTGGGCAACATTGACTGGTAAGGCCGGACAGCCCCAAGGCCCTCCAGCAGAGCCCTGAGCTGCTGCGTCGAGGTTGACACAATCCCGCAGGTCAACGACAAGGGAGGAGATCGAGGCTCATTTCAAGCCCAGCTGCTCGGGCCTGGTTGAGATTGTCTTCTCTGCCCCCGGCAAGGTGGGCGCCATTGGCGTCGCCAAGAGACAGAAGTATGCCCCTGCCTCTCATCGCATGCTTGCCGATCCGTGCTCTCGGAGGCACCAGGGTTGTGTACTCATCGATCCTTTCAGGCCCCAGCACGGTGGTCGAGTGTGGTTGGTGTTCAAGGATGAAGTTTCGGTACGTGCTCATGTCTACTCCCGCATGCTGACCGTGCCCTCGAGGCCAACCGAGCTCTCCGCATGCGCGGCTCTGTCCTCAAGAACCGCAAGCTTTGGATCCAGAAGCACGAGTTCACGGACTCGAAGGCAAAGTCTCCTTCCAAGAGGTCTTTATCTGTTTAATGCATCTCGTAACGCCATGTTCTTCGCCTCCATCTCCTCTATCGTCCTCAAGAGATGTTGAATATGGTCGCTCTGTGACTCGATAGCTCGCTCATGCTCCCTTATCGCCTCCTGGAGGAACAGCGCTGCTCTCCTGCGCTCCGCGTCTAGTCCGTGTAACATGCGTTCGTCCAAAGGATCAGGACACTGTAAGGCTCTTAGATCCTCCTCGAGCTGCTGTATCCTCATCTCATAAGCCATGATCTCCTTGCGCTGCCTGAACAGCCCTGTCTTGTTCTGAAAGTCCTTGATCCTCCACCACGTCGCTTCCCTCCTTAGCTCCTCGTGAAGTCTGCTTCCATGAGTGTGCTTCTTCCTTGCTAGCTTGAGCTCTTCCTTCAGGACCTCTGCCATGGACGCCGTCTCGAGGAGCTTCTCCCTCATCCTCCTCTCGCCTCCTCTCGCCTCCACCACTGCCGCTGCCAAGCGCTCCAGGCTGTCTATGCGCTCCATGGCCGTTGTGATCACTGGGATTCCACAAGGGGTAGTAGTAAAGGGGGTGGTCACGGTAGGGGTTATATTTCCTAGATTATTGTCGGTGAAGCCCTGGTGGGTAGTGAGCAGGAAAAGGGTGGGTTCATGCGTAGTAAACGAACCGGTGGATCCTAGAGTCAATATTAGGGTAGGGGTGGACGACTGGGAGAAGGAGGGTGGGGTGGCGGTAAGAATGCGCGGGTGGTTGGTCGCTCTGGAGGAGGAGGAGGCAAGGAGGAGGAGGAAGAGCAGGAGCAGGAGCAGGAGCAGGAGCAGGAGCAGGAGCAGGAGCAGGAGCAGGAGCAGGAGCAGGAGCAGGAGCAGGAGCAGGAGCAGGAGCAGGACATGAGTTCAAGTAGAAGAGTGGCGGCATGAAGAGCAGGGAGGACGGAGGAGGAGGGGGGGAGAGGAGGATGGAGGGGAGAGGAGAAGCACAAGGGGAGTGAGGGTGGATAGGACAAGGAAGATAGAGGCTCCCAGCTCTTAGCGTTGCATACCAGACAAACATTTTCCCCTTGGGAGAGCGAATAGATCCCACATCAGAAGAAGTAGAAATCAAACTCAGCCGTGCTGCCAGGAGCATGAGATGATGTTATCATGATCCTTTTTGAAATGCTGACGCTGGATCCCGAGAGACTATGCTGAACGCATGAGGAGCTTCTGACTTGTTCCCCTCGCAGATCGCTCACTGGCAGGTCCAGTTCCTCATTGACATCCGCCATGTCTGACCCGCTGTCAATTCTTCGGGAGCACATCATACAAAAGAAGAGCATCTCGCACGATGAGAATACTGTCTTCCTCGGCGACCTCAAGTTCCCTCGTAGCACAACGACCAAGTACAAGCAAGATCGAGGACGTGGTGACCCCTACACACTGGAAGCTCTCTACTTCTTGCACTTGAAGCAGCACCTTGCCGGTGCCACCAACGCTCGTGCGTACAACGAAGAGTCCAGCAAGCTCGGCTTCGCCAAAGTCCTTCTGGCGGATCAGAGGGATGCGCTGGCGTACTTGACGGGGAAGCAGGAGACATCCGAGAACCTGGTGTCTGCTGAAGACATCTCCAGTATCGCCCCGGGATCTCAGCCGGTCAAGGCGTCAGAGCGGGTGCCGGAGAAGCGGCCCAGGGACGAGCCGCAGCTGAACTTGAGCGATGAGAACATGGTGGCGGCGAAGAAGAAGTTTGCGGAGCGAGTGGACGCGCTGGTGCTGAGGCCGATCGAGAACACCAAGGAGAGCAGGACGCTGGTGGAGGACGAGAAGCAGGAGGCGTTCAGCTCTCCCTTCGTGCGCGCGGACGCGGCGGTGACGAGGACGCTGATAGAGCAGGAGAGGGTTCACACTTCGCTCAAGACGTTCGCCAACTGCGCTCCTGGCAAGGAGCTCAAGTCTCTCAAGGACTTCGTTGGGTCCGCCTACTCCAAGTCCTCCCGCGCTGTCAACGGAGCCAAGGCGGCCATGCCGGGGAGCAACGCGCAGCCGACGAGGCGCGATCGTTACAATGTTGATGCTCCTGATGCGTACAAGGCTGCCGGTATGGACCAGATGCTGCTGAAGGCGGAGCAGCGCAAGGGAACGTCGTTGCTCGCGACCTCGCAACCTGCCAAGAGCACGGCGCAGCTGTCGAGCAACCGGCCGACTCGTTGGGAGCCGATCATTGTCGTCCCACAAGCGCAATCATCGCTCATCAACAAGTGGAATGCTAAGATCCTCCTGGAGGTGAGGGAGGGAGGGAGGGAGGGAGGGAGGGAGGGAGGGAGGGAGGGAGGGAGGGAGGGAGGGAGGGAGGAGGGAAGACGAAGGAGGAGGGAGAAGGAGTACGG